AGCGATCTCACAGCTCAGTGTTGTGTGGAAGCTGTCTGGTCAAGACTCTTCTTTCCGAATCCTAGAAGTTCCTCAAGGATCCTCATTGTGATTGTACTATCAAGGAGCCCCGAGCCCTACCCCAAATATTGACGCCGCTACTTTGTGTTGACGGTCTTTCGGGCCTCATTGCACGCGAAGCCGCGAAGCATCGCACTTCCATCAGCGCATCTTAAAACTACCTCCAATCGAGTATTATAGTCCTTGGTACCCCAGGAATGTGGTCTCTAGTTTGCGGAGTTGTGCGGCCGATCGTTAGCTACACCGCAATATCGTAGTAATTATCGTAGTAGTAGGGTTTCAAGGAGTTGTTGGTGCTGCTGCTGTTGTTGGCCTCGCTGGCGTTGCTGTTGCTGTTGCTGCTGCCGTTGCACGAGTGATGGTCCTGATGACGATGGTTTAGATCACGGTTAACATGAGGGTAATGGTGATGATGGCGGTACTAAACATACGGTGGGGGTATCAAATACAGTTTTAACACAGTTGCTGCACTGTGTATCCTCTTGGTAAGCCTAAATCCCGACAGAACTTCATTCGATTCCGCTGATCCTGCAGCCCTACTCCCGATAACCGTAAACCTGTCCTAAACTAACCCCAAACCCTAAATGCAGGGCTTGCCCAGACCTCAGCGCCGTGAGGCACGTGATCATAGTGCCGCCGCACTGGGTGCTGTGACAGCGTTGTCAAAGCGACCTGCCGCAAAGGATTTACCTCCAGCTTTCTATAGGGGTTCACAGAATGGCCAAACGTACGCCTGTGGGTTCAGTTAAAGCATCGAATTGTCAGAATGTTGTTCGAAGTACTGGTACTAAGGCCCCTATGACATGATGTGAGGATGTGAGGTTAAAGATTGATCAGGCGAGAGGCAAAAAAGCCTACATCCATCCTGATCCCTAAAACCCTAGTACTCTCATACCCTAAACCCCTAAACCCTAATCCCCCAAACCCCTAAACCCTGAGACCCTAAACTGAACCCTAAACCCCACAACGGGGCTGCGTCCTGGCGAGTCCAAACCCCGAAACCCCACAAATACCCTTGGGGGTTTAGGGGTTTAGGGATCTATAAGGGGCAGACCGGATGCAAAAAAGGGATCTATAAGGGTCCCCTTTAAAGGGATCTCTAAGGGGTTCTATAAGGGGGTTTAAGGATTCGGGATCTAGGGCTTAGGGTTTAGGAGTTCCGGGGTTGGCGGTTAAGGGGTTTAGTGTTTTAGGGTTCACGGTTTAGGGTTTAGGGTTTAGGGTTTAGGGTTCAGGGTGTAGAAGACTGGCTAGACTTGAGTCCAGTAGCAGAAAGGGCTTAGGGTGTTTTCCTGAAACTTCCCTTTGCAAGCTTAAACCCTAAACCCCTGAACCCAACCCTAAACCCCTATACCCCCAAACCCCTTAACCCTTAACCCTTATCCCCTAGGCCCCAAACCCTAAACCCTTAACCCTGAACCTGAAAGCATTGAGGATAGTGGCGACCGTCTTGACTTACCCGTTGATTCGGGCCAAGGCTGGCTCCTGATTCAGCTCAATCGCCGTTTCCCTAAAGTTTGTGTTTCAGGGTTTACGTCGTGGTTTGGTTTAGTGTTTGTTGTTTAAGGTTTGTTGCTTGACGCGGGTTTTTTATAGAAGGATGGTATAAGGGTGTTATGAAGTTGTTTGCAAGGTTTATACGGTTTAGGGATAGCCCAGATGTGAAAGGGTTCGTCTGCTCTCCCAAATCCTGACCTACGACACGATTAGCCTACACCCGAGTATGGGAGTTTCCGAAATCAGGGGTACCTTACTTTGGGGTCCTTATAATAATAAGGATCCTACTATCTGGGGTACCATATTAGGGTCCCCTATTTTCGGAAACTCCCATATGGGAGTTTCCGATAATAGGGGACCCTCATGTAGTGCCCTAAATAGTAGGATCCTTGTTATAATTATCAGAACCCCCAAATAAGGTACCCCTAATTTGCGGAAACTCCCATATCTTTTTTGAATCTTGCGGACTCTGGATCCTTAGAGCCTAGAGCTGGCTCCAGCGCAGTGGGGAAGCTATGGCTTACGGGTTTGGGATGGGTTTTGTGGGGTTCAGGGCGCGTAGGGTTCAGGGTGTAGGGGTTTCTGAAGTTGCAGATGTGTCGCGTAGGGTTTTAGGGTGCAGAGTGCAACAAGGCTGCAGAGGCTTATCTCATTCCTACGAAGGAAAGCCCTACATCAAGAAGGCCCCATGATGAAGGTTCTTTGTTTGTCTCGGAAGCCTTTGACCGGAACAAGCACGCAACAGCAACAAGCCAAGACTCATCCATAAATCCATACCCCAAAAATCATAAGCCGAAAACTCTACCCCAAGCCCAAAACTTTACCCTAAAACCTGCGCCCTAAACCCTAAGTGAAGCTGAAAACACCCTGGGGGCCGCCCGAGCTCTTGCCCAAATCATAACAATGAGTCCTAACAAACCAGTACCCCCAATGGCCCTTTAATGGAGCCTTTGTGGTCCTGAACAGTGGGTATTTAGGGCATATTAATGGGTAGTTGGTGGGTCCAGGAAGAAATCCTGAGTTCTACTAGATAGCACTAATGGTCCATGTGCCCAAATAGTATATGCTCTGCCCCCAAAGTACCTAGACAGGGACTACTGTAAGGCCAAAGTACAAAGCATTTGGGTACATGGACCCTTATACCCTAAACCCTTATAGAATCCTTATGGATCCCTTAAAGGAACCCTTATAGATCCCTTAAAGGACCGTTGCTATTGGGTACATGGACCCTTAGGGCTGTCTAGTAGAATGTAGACCCTAAACCCTAAACCCCTATACCCTAAACCCTAAATCCCTAAACTCCTAAACCTTAAACCCCTAAACCCTAAGCCCTTAAATCCCTAAACCCTAAGAGGACATCTTAGGACCCCTTTTGGGGTCGCAAGGTCCTGCAGCAGACGGCGGCCTCGGTCTACTCGGGGCAGGCTCGCTTCTTTGTTGGGCTCTTATGGGTTTGAGGGTTTAGGGTCTATGGGTTTGAGGGTTTAGAGTTTCAGGGTTTTAGGGGTATGGGGTTTTAGGGTTTTTAGGGTATGGGGTTTGGGGTTTTAGGGTTTTAGGGGTATGGGGTTTAGGGGTTTAGGGTTTTAGGGTATGGGGTTTGGGGTTTCAGGGTTTTAGGGGTATGGGGTTTAGGGTTTTAGGGGTGCAGGGTTTAGGGTTTGGGGTTTAGGGATGTTTAGGGTTATGGGTTTAGGGTTTAGGGCATATGCGTAGCCCAGGTGTAAAATTTAAAAAGGTTTTAGGGCTTTAGGGGTTATGGGTTTTAGGGTTATGGGTTTAGGGTAATGGGTTTGGGGTTTAGGGGTATGGGTTTGGGGTTTTCGGGTTGCGATGTCACGAGTGCTGCACTGCTTCGCGTCGACAGTTGTTCTGGGCGAGAGAAGCCTGCTGCTAGAAGGGTTTCGAGGCTGGCCTCAAACGACCCAGATGCAAATTCGCTGCTGATGATGGGCCCCCCACTTCCGCACCCCCTCTTCCCGACCGGCACACTAGGAGCTCACGAACCCAATACTGTAGTGATCATAATTTGCCATGATCCTAAACCAAAACCCTAAGCCAACATCTCACACTCTAGGCGCCATCACGTGAATCATGATGGTGACAATAACAAAGTGAAGTTGGCCGGTGGAAACAAATCTGTTTATTGCAACTGGTTGTTGCTTCATGGCTGCGAGTCTGAAACACGGAACGCCTTGTTGGGGCCCTTGGTACAGTCAGCCCTGTCATCCGCCTTCGCATCGTGAGACTGGCCTTGTAAGTGAAGAAAAACCCAACCTCTAAGCAACATTTCAAGGGTTTACGGGTATCTAAGGTGCTACAAAGAGAGTTGACGTTTAGAGCCTCCAGGCCTGTTTACTGCAACCCTTAACCCTTTTAAACCCTTAGGCCCTGAAGCCCTTAAGCCCTAAACCGTCTTCTGAAGCTGTAACGCTCTGGTCGAGGCCTTCCCTTCCGTCATGAGGCAAGTATTGCTCCTTGCAGCTTGGCTCTGCGGTCTGCCACGAGGTCTTATGAACCCCGAGCCAGATTAAGATAAAGGATTCAGAAACCCTTAAGTTTAAACCCTAAACTCTGAGATCCTTCCAGACTCCAATATGTCCGAGTAATTTGTAGACCTACAGCCTAAAGTATTTCAGGCACTGTACAGTCATACTTCAACTGAGACTGAGAAGGTCATTAACTAGGGTTGGGTGAGCGTCTCCCCCTGTAATAACTATCCCATAATATACCACAGCAGCATATCGTAATCATCATAAGGTCCCCTAGCCCTAAACCCTTAGAGTAACCCTTGAAAGAAACCCTATTCTTACGAAGGCCCCCCATTTTTCCCGCCTCTTGATCTAAGGAAGGTGTTGGCGGCCTGTATCGGGGAATGATTGCGATGAGTTACAAGAAGCTGAGGCGGCAGGAGTTTATGATTCAGGATGTTGATATTGGAACTTAGAGATCTGGGAGTTATATAAATATAAATACAAATAAATATATATATATATATATATATATATTGGTTGAGATGAGATATCAGGATTGGTATACAGGGGTCTAGAGATCAGGATTGAAATATTGGTTCGAGAGGGAGAGTTTCGTGAGGATCTGGGATTGGCAATTCGAGCCGGGCGCGCGGATTTCGGACGATGGCGGGCTGGAGAGGGGATTGACCTTTACCTTTCCCGCTTAGCTTGCCGCATTCCAGGACCGGTGCAACACTTGCGAACGCTTACCCGGACCCCCGGGATGATCGAGAAAGTAGATCCCCCAATTTGGGACCCTCTACTACTAAGGGTACTTAATATGAACCGCACAGCCTCCCAAGCCCCAAAGCCCCGTTTACAAATTCATACGACAGGGGCCGATATAATTACCCATACTATTTTCGGGGTTTCTTATTGTAATATAGTAACGTATATGGCGCTGCGAAACTATTCTAAGTGTTAAAGACCCTGTATTAGATATCCAGAGGACTTCGTGAACTTTTGAACCGCCTGGTTCAACCCAGGACAGTGCTCTGGAATTCCATCAATGATATTCCTTTAGGTTTCCTGAGTATAGTTATACGTACTTTAATGTACACCGAAATCCTGGTTATCCCTTAGAGTTCCCGAAAACCTTAAAACCGTTAGTTCAGCGCAGGACAGTGCTTTGGAATTCCATCAAATGTGATCCCCCAGAGTTCCCTAAACCCTTAAACCGTTAGTTCAGCCCAGGACAGTGCTCGGGAATTCCATCAATGTTATATATCCCTTAGAGATTAGAGTTCTCGAAAACCTTAAAACCGTTAGTTGAGCCCAGGACAGTGCTCTGGAATTCCATCGATGTTATCCCTCAGTTCCTTAAACCCTTAAAACTGTTAGTTGAGCCCAGGACAGTGCTCTGGAATTCCATCAATGTTATCCCTCAGTTCCTTAAACCCTTAAAACCGTTAGTTGAGCCCAGGACAGTGCTCTGGAATTCCATCAATGTTATCCCTCAGTTCCTTAAACCCTTAAAACCGTTAGTTCAGCCCAGGACAGTGCTCTGGAATTCCATCATGATGGCCTTCAAGCACCTCTTGGGTCCAAAACGGGCGATGACGCCTCCCGAGCATCTTGACACTGGATGGACGAATATTTATTGCGGGAGGGGAGGGGGGGGACGCTTAGGGCTATTATGGTAACTTAAAAGATCTGTAGTAGATAATATGGTTTCCTGATTATTGTAACTTAAAAGACCTGTAGTAGATAGTATGGTTTCCTTATTATGGTAACTTAAAAGATCTGTAGTAGATAATATGGTTTCCTTCTTACGGCAACTTAAAGTAATCCTTATTATTGAAACTTAAAGTAACCCTTATTATTATGGTAACTTAAAGTAATCCTTATTATGGTAACTTAAAGTAAAGTAAACCCCTTAAGAAGAACCCCAGATTGAGGTCCTCAAAGCGCTGTCAGAAGCCGAGTCCTCGCCTCGAAAGACTCCGAATCCTACACCTTCCCTAAGGCCCCATGTGCCCACATGGTATAAGCTGCCCCCACCCTGTAATAGTGGTATAATGTAAATATAATAGGGCCCTAATATAATCCTATATCATCCTTATAGTCACCATTACAGGGTGGGGGCAGCTCCTAACCCATATGGTATAATATAGGGGCCTTAATAATTACCTATAGGGTTCCCAAGGTTCCTGCAAAGGGGTCTATAAGAGTTACTGTAAGGGATCTATTAGGGTACTATAATATAGGGGCCTAAATAATCACCTATACTATTCTGGGGGTTCCTTATTATGATTATGGTATAGTGGGCCCCAAAACCCTATTCTAATTATTAAGGCCCCTATATTATGCTTAGGCCTTAAAGTACCTATATAGGGACTACTTTGGGGCTTAAGTATCACTATAAAGGTACATGGAGCCTTTGGGCCTTAAGCCCTGCCCTGAAACCCATGCGGCGCACGTAGGTCTTGGATCCTCAGTCCCCCAACGCTCTTCAATCAAGGAAAGATAAGGAAAGCGTTTGTTGCCTTGTAAGTCGTGTTCAGAGTCCCTCTCTTTGATTTAAGGTCTACTGCTTTCTGCAGAGTTGTTGGAGTTTGCTGTCGCTGCGTCCCTCGAAATATAAATCTATATACTATGCACTAGAAATCACATATTGGCCCAAACCCTAAACCCCTAAACCCGGAAACCCTAAACCCGTAAACCCTGAACCCTAAACCCCTAAATCCTAAACCCCTAAACCCCTAAAGCCCTAAACCACCTGAGGTCCCCAAAGCTCCTTAATTAAGGAATATACCTTAAATTATAGTAGGATCCCTAATATGATTCAAGGAATATTCCTTAATTCAGGGATATTGGAGTCTCTGGGAACCACCTGAGGTCCCCAAAGCTCTAGACCCTAAACCCCTAAACCCAAAACCCCTAAACCCCTAAACCCAAAATCCTTAAACACTAAGCCCCAAACCCCTAAACCCCTAAACCCCTAAACCCAAAATCCTTAAACACTAAGCCCCAAACCCCTAAACCCCTAAACCCCTAAACCCTAAACTATCTGAGGTCCCCAAAGCTCATGCACATGCCCCACGTTGCCCGCGAGCCCTTCCCGGCCGAGCGACAGGGCCCAGAAAGAGCTCTTTGCAGTCTGGGGAGGGTTTAGGGGTTTGGGGTTTATGGTCCAGGGTTTAGGGGTTTAAGGTTTTGACCTTTAGGTTTTTGAGGGTTTAGGGTTTAGGGCTTCAGGATTTCAAAGGGTTTAGGGTTTAGGGCTTTAGGATTTGAAAGGGTTTAGGGTGTATGGGGTTCAGGGTGTAGGCTTTTTGGGTTTCGAGTCGGGGTTGGGTTCATGCTTTTAGGGTTTATGGCCTGGGTCCAGGGCTATAAGTGTGTAAGGGTTTTGAGGGTTCAGCGTGTAGGTAATAAGGCTTTAGGAAATTATAGGGTTGACCTGTTTTGGAGTTTCGGGTCTAGGGTTGAGTTTCTTCATGGAGGTTTTCCCAACCCGTTCCTTCAAGGGCTTTTCTTACGGAGCCTTGGAGTTTAGGTCTTTCAGTCAGTGTTTCTCAGTCTGCTACCGTCTAGGGTTCAGGATAGTTGGGTTCAAGTTTCGAGGGCTTTCGCCTCTAGAGTGTAGGGCGGTGTAGGGTCGCGTGTGGGCAGGCTCTGTAGTGGTATCTTGAACTTTGATGGAAAGGGCTCACACATTTGATGTTGAGCTGTTTGCACGGACTCGGTCGGCGATGGAGTTCAGGGCAGATGCGACTTCTACCCACGATTTCAGGGTGGGCTCTTTGGGGTTTAAGTTCGGGCTCAAGTAGAAGCGCCTTTTCAGAATCTGAGCCCGAGGGTTGCGATGGGTGCGACACCCAACGGGGCGAGATGCGTTGTGGGCAGAGGGGGTCCTGCTAATCATACCTCTTGATCTTGAAAGCAATATACCCTATAAGCCCAAGACACTACACGCTTGAAGCATTGAAACCCAAGGTACACGCAGGAGAAGCTGGATGAGATCCTGGAGTATCTCCGGCGCGTCGGCAGCAGTCGCAAGAAGGCCGGAGCGAGTGACTGTCTAAACCGTTTTCGAGTTGCACGGCAAAGGGTCCAAGATGAAGGATTCTGTAAGGCTTCTAGGTTGTTTGTTTTGCTTCTTTTTCTTCTTCTGTTGTGTGTGTGATTGTGTGCGCGCGTGTGTGTTTCATTGCCCGGGGTTTGGGCTTTCGGGATTTATTGGTCCATGGAGTTCTGGATTGATTGCGTGTGTTCCCAGTATGGAAGACCCACTACTTGTTAGAAGACAGGTACAGGGGATCCCTTGGTCAGCGTTGCTTGTGGGCTTTCGTTTCTAACTCTCTAAGGCCACAGTAGTAGGGTGTCCCTATAAGGGTGAAGTGTCGAGGATCCTCAGGATGTCTTCCTCGGGGTTGGGCTTTCAGATGCCTAGGGCTGACGACTCGGGCTCACGATTCTGCAAGGCTCCGGTGTTCAGAGGTGCGTGTGTGGGATGCGGGCTTGCTCTTGGGATGTAGCTCCCACCACCGCGCTAGCTGTGGATACGGTGGTATAGAATGGCCCCCACCCCAAACCCCACACCCTCAAACACGTACTCTAAAGCCTCCACCCCTTACAACCCAAACCTCAAGCCCTGAAGCTCTAAGATCCTAAAGTAGGCGGCTACCACCGATGCTGATGCCTTAAATTATCAGAGACGGGTCTCCTCTAGGAATCAACCCGTCCATAAATTCGCTTTAGGGGTTCGGGTTTTGGGATAGCAAAGTAGGGCATCTCCGAGTCTGTGCAAAAGGGATAGCAACGTCCACATAATAGATCATTAACAGGAGACTATCTACTATCTACTATCTACTATCTACTATCTACTACTATCTACTACTATCTACTACTATGTACTACTACTACTACTACTACTACTACTACTACTACTACTACTACTACTACTACTACTACTACTACTACTACTACTACTACTACTACTACTACTTGTATTATTGCCATCACGGGCCCGAGATTCCCTACAGGATCCTAAACTCTAAACCCTAAACCTTATAGAAGGGGCCCCCACGCTGTAATAGTGGTATATTAGGAATATAATAGGGCCCTAATAAAAACCTTATAGTCACTGTCACAGGGTGGGGGCAGCTTCTACCCTAAACCCTAAACTCTGATTCTGCTCAAGACCCCCTTCCTTCAGACGAAAAGGAGCCCTCAAACAAAAAAAACAACTCTGATTCTGCTTGGGTTTCGCGAGGTGGAGGCGCTAGAGCAGCGGATGGACGAAGTCATCGTGGAGCTTCGGGAGGTCCGCACGCCGGGGCCCTGGTCCAAAAACCACGGGTTTCGGGCTTCGAGTTTCGGGTTTCGGGGCATCGGGTTTAGGGTTTAGGGTGGATCCGACATTTAGGGCTTAGGGTTTGGGGTTTAGGGTTTAGGGTGGGTTGAGGGTTTAGGGTGTAGTCCACAGCACAGTCGGCGCCTCGGTTCCTGGCATATGCATAGTCCAGGTGTGTAAAAAAGAGTTTAGGTTTTTCGGGTTTAGTGTTGAGGGCATCATCTCTCGTTTTTGTTCATGGTCACGTTTTTTAGGGTGTTTTAGGGTTCTTCATGCAAGGGACATATACCGTGGTATATGTTTGGTTCAGGGGTTCGTAATTTCAGCAGCTGGTTTCAGGGTCTTTGTGTTGAGAATCCCAGTGCTTCAAGTTTCTATTCGTCCCCTGTTGCTGATAATGTGGACAAAAAACTGACACCCACTAAGCCCTATAAGCTTTACCCTGTCGTCCCTGCGCCCGATACATTAAACAAAATCGACAATAATCACAAACCTGACGGATCCATACTCAAGGACTTTACATATCATGGTGTTGTTTATAGTAGCATAAGCTACCGTAATGGAGCAAGCACTTGGACTTGCTATGCATCCTAAGTATGGTAATTCAGCAGCTGATTAAGTTCCTTGACATGCAGGTTTTTTAACATGCTGACTACAAAGACCCCGTGCTTGAGCCTTTGGTTCTAGGAACCATTGAAAACAAGGTCTACACGAAGCTCGAAACCAACCACAAGAACGATACAGTGTGTAGCTCATACAATCTACCACCAGACCGATCAACAACTCATCACAACACCCTCCACCCAAGCCACCAGACGGGAAGGCTGCTGTTAGGACGAGCCAGATTAGCTTTCTGCTTGCGGGTTGTGCGGGGTGGACGGGTTTAAGATGAAGGGTTCAGGGCTTAGGTATTATGCTACTTAAGGGGAGAAGTTACAGGCTTTAGGGCTTAGGGTTTGGGTTTTCGGCTGAACCCTAAACCCTAAACCGTGAACCACTGCAGAGTTTAGGGCCCCCCTGCACCTAAACCCTAAACCCTAAACCAAACCCTAAAAAAAAAACAAACCCTAATGAACAGGCTGCTGCTGGATCTGGTGTCCCGACCGAGCGCAGAAGCTGGTCAGAGCCAGGCACTGCGCCTCGCGCAGGGACCCGATGCACGCCTGGCATGGAACTTGCTTCAGGTTTCAGGGTTTAGGGTTTAGACTTTAGGTTGGTTGAGGCTCAGGGCTTGGGGTTGAGGGATTCGGATTGCGGATGTTGGGGATGTTTAGTTTAAGGTTTCAGGGTGGGCTAGGGTGTCGAATGTGTCGAAGCTTGAATCAAATCCGGGGGAAGCTTCGTACGTACCCATAATCTGGACTTCTACAGCTATACTCGGATGCTTAGGTACGAATGGGTACTTACACGAGTTCAATATATACTTCGAGGATAGTCCCATTGAAAGGAAAGCCGCAAGCTCGGCTCGGAGCCCTCGCTCCGAGATCATTTAGGGGTTAGGGGTTTAGGGTTTAGGGGATTCAGGGGTTTAGGGGGTTGTGTTCAGGTTTTAAGAAAGATAAAGCAGTAAACATGAACTCAACAACAGCAAGTGGCAGGCTCTGAACTTTGAGGGTCCATGACCTTAACTTTAATTAAAGCCCGAAGTATATTATAGGTTGTAAAAGGTGTGCGTGGCCTGCAGCAGCAGAGAACGCAAGTATCCATCCAGTCGATAGCTCTTTGCAGTCAGCAGGGCGGCATGAATCTTCCGACGCAAAGAGCACAAAGGCTTGCAAGTTAGGGTTTGGGTTCAGGACATGTCTTCGTGGCTTAGGGCTTGGCAGGCTTGCTTGCCCTTGGACGTAGGCCCGTTGCCTTGAGGCAGAGAGTATTAACCTTGAATCTCAAAGCCCTAGAAGGCTAAAGTCCCATGCGGTAGAAGCCCAAAAGTTGGAGACCCAATTGCCTCAATCCCTCAGGGTCATGTATCGGGAATCCCAGCACGAATTATCCTTAATCCGGCTTCTAAGCTTTTTAAATTAGGGTTTACTATATTCCGTAAGTGCTCAAAGCCTTAAGGGGGAGCCTTTTCGTTGATTTCCAATCCCCCACACCGCGGCAAACCTCAGTATGACACCTGAAACTGCACAGCCTCCCTGCAACTGCACCTGTCAAGATTCTGCAGGCATTTAGTGGCAATTCGATCGAGCCTCGGGTGTGTAACCGAACTGTTTACATGGTTTTGCAGGCCGTGTAGACATTCTTGGAGGATCAGAGGTGGCTCCATGGTGTAGGGTTTAGGGTCCGTGTTTATAGTTATAAGAACCCCCACTAATCATGCCATTTAACTGAGACTAGAATCGGCGAAGGGGTGGTTCTTCCGGTACTATTGCCGGAAACCCTAGACCCTCCAAACTGTTGGGGTCTTCTCACCATTCTAATCTGTACCCCAAACCCAACACCCTCTTCGAGGTGTAGAGTTTCTCGCTATACCCCCAAACCCTCAACCGCGTTGGAGGTTGATACCTATATAGTCTCCATTGTAGTTCCTTTTTGGGGTTACTTTTTAGGGTCCCTAATATAGAATTGGTTAAACCAACAAGAGGAACTACAATGGAGACTATAGGTAGCTTTTCCCTAACCCCTAGGCCCTCCTTGCTTGTGGGCATTGGTCCCATGCCATGCGAGAGGGAAAAGGTTTCTTCGAGGTTTGGGAGAGTCCCGAAACCCTAGACCTAGACCCTAAACCCGAAATCCCTAAACCTTAAACCAGAAACCCGAAATCCTTAAACCCTGAACCAGAAACCGTAAACCCTAAACCAGAAACCCTAAGTCGAGGTTTAGAGCTTTCCGCTGGCAGTGCCAGGTGCGCTGCAACGGCGAGGCCACAGGCTCTGATGGCTCGCAGTTCATCTGAGGGCGGCTCCAAGTGTAGCATAGGGGTTCCATTGGTTATTAATTAGTATTCCTTAGGGTTATATATGTACATGTATGTATCAACAACAGTTGTGTTTATATCTATATATATGTACATATGTATATAATTATATATACACACATGTGTACTTCAAATTCGGTTCTAAGTAATAAGGCCCTTATACTAAGGCCGTCAGGGAAATACAGATACATGTACATGTACTTCACTCGTCTATGGCTGAGTGGTATGTTTATGCGAGGTATGCGAGGTATGGGGTCGTGTTTTCGTTTCTTACACTGTATCTCAGTATATGCCCTGCTCTAATGTATTGCATTAGATTTGGTTAGGCTTGGCTAGACTAATACTCAGCAAATTTGGATTATGATTATCTGTACATTCAAATGTACTGCTGTCTTAGAAATTGGATTTGAGCCGTAGTTGTTTATGACACAGTGCCCTAAGGAATATCGTTGGCATCTAGGGGCTTGTACTGTTTTTGAGCGAGTGAAACTAACCCGAATCCGTAGTTTTCCGAGACGACGCACTTCCCACTGCCCCTTGCAGAGTACCTATTTCAAAAATACTATACTGATGTATAATCAGTATAAGGTACCCCATCACCCTGTTCTGAGGGTGCTTGCAGTTGGTTATTGCGCGGATTAAGGGAGCCTAACCGGGCCCCACCATTAGGCTTTCGGTTTAGGGCTCCCAAACCCTAAACCCCTAGATCCCCTCGTCAGGTGGTGATACGATTGTGGCACTGGTAGGTTACAGTGCTGCCGTCCTGGCCACATGCGAAAGTCGCATATGGTGAGCTGTTTCATCCTCGAAGGAACTTGGGCAAAACGGAAAGTGCCAACTGCTTATATGTGCGCAGGTTTCCTTGCCAGGGTGAACTGGATTTGCGGAGTCGCGCACTGTGGGTTTCAAGGTTTTTTGCGACTTTAGGGCCTTGGGTTCTTGAGCTCCGGGATAAGCACGAAGCCTGAAATTGATCTTCCTTTGCTCAGATTTCAGATAAACAAAAGCCTGGAATTGAAATAAATATGCAACAAGCCGTACTTCAGGGCTTCATGGTTCTTCGCCCGGTAGGCCAATGTTGGAGATGCCAGATGAGACTCAAACGTCTCCCCGCTAGACGATCGACTGCCAATACCGTAAAGACGATGACCAAGAGAAAGCACCCTCTTGGACTAGCCAACTGGCCGTCAACAGAGTTGCCAGCATGGACAACTCTACGAACAACAGCGGCAGCAATCCCAACGTCGTAACAAAAGCTGATAGTCGGAGGGGCCATGTCGGCATAACCGCATCAATCGTGATGCCGTATCAGTTCACTGGAGGAACAGCGCTCTTACATAAACAGTGTTGCTCTGAATGCTAACACTCTAGGCGCAATTCCGTGGGCTTTCCTTCCAAGCCAGCGGATGCATTGGATGCATCAGCCGAGTATGAGTATACGAGCCATCTTTGCCTGAGTCGCCGTGGCAGATCATGTAGACTTAGCAGCACCTGTATGCAGCTTTGCTCGTCGTCGTCGCAGTATTCGCGGCCGTCAGTCTTGCCACAGCAACCAGTGGTAGTAGTCGTGGCCGTCGTCGTCGTACTTGTTGTTGTATCGTAGGAGTAGGAGTGCAGCGGCAGTAGTTGTAGTAGCAGGTGGCGATGCTTGCAGATTATGAGACTGAGAGACTATGCTTCGGCCGTCGAGTTTAGGACCTATCTCGTTGAATGCTTGTGAAATGCTTGTGCCTATATCTCTCCATGTTGTCGCTGTTTCAGGTTGTTCTCCTTCTTGGCATTGTGCTCAGCTCCTGCATTTTCATTTGTGTGCCAAGGCTTCAAAGATCCCTCCACGCAGTTGCCTGCCGCGGAGGCGTGGCAGCTGCTTCCCGAGGGCTCAGGGTACTTCGTCATGTGGTCACACCGAAACCCGAATCAGCTTTGGTGAAAGGCCGTTCGGGGTGTAGGGCGTCGGGATGTGCACGTAAGTCTTATGCCCTGATCCACGCCAAAACGCCCCTACGATTAGCCTGATTAGCTGAATAGCCTGTCCGACAGAAGGGCTTCAAGGCCAGAAGGACGGAGCGTTCAGCTCGATAGTCACTTCGCAAGTTTTCCAGCATGAGCACATGTTTCGATACTGCTTTATCCTTGTTTGTCTATCCTATGGTATATGAGCGCCTTGCATTGTAGTAGGTTGACACAAGCGTGTGGAAGCCGGGGGAATCCAAAGCTCTGCATTTCAGCTGCGCACTCGTTGGGCTCTATGCCGCATGGTGTGAAGTTAGAGACTGGCTGACTTTAGCCTCGTAGTCCTAGTAGTATGGGACCCTTGCGGAACCCTAATGGCACCCTTGTACAACCTTATGGAAACCCTGTGCTACAGAAGCCCTTTCACAGATTGCAAGCTACCGATTCAGGTAGCCACATTCAGAAGGGGTCCAGGGTAAAAGTTCGAGGGCCACAGGTCCAGACAGGTAACCCTGCTGTCCACAGTGCTGTTTGCTGCTCTGTTGCTGTCGTCGCCGTCTGTGTTGTTTGCGTGTCTACGTTCGGAAGCCACAGATCGGAGAACCCTGCTGTTCATTGTGCTGAGTACTCTTCCGTTGCTGTTGCTGCCGTGCCCCAAGTTGTGCTTATGACATGTCGGATCACCAATCGTCAGTGCCAGTTGGGCTTACAATGTGACGGCTGTTTTGATTGATGCTGTGACAAGCACTTGCTGAGGCTCCTCCCATGATTTGTCTCTATCGTCTACAATTCTTGCAAGCCTCCTTTTTAATAAGATCTGTTGGTTGTGGGATGTCCACATCAGAGATGCTGTAGTGATGGTGGTGATGCCGAAGCCGAAGCTACCAGCGGCAATGATGTACGGGTGCTGATCTAAATTCCTACTGTGATGCTTATCATGATAATGGTGCTTATGGTGATGGTTCATGTTGACGGTGAGTAGATATTGAAATTGCTGCTGCGTAGTCTAGGCCTAAATCACCAAAAGCAAGTCTTGGGAAGACATAATAAGCAAATCAACGAGGCCCAGGCGTCTCTGCGGCGTGCTGCGACCCTTGTCCGGGTGACCGCTTTGGGCATTAGGGGCGAGTACTCATGGTCCGTTACAGGGAAGGTAGAACGAACCGGTTTAGAGGCTGAATTGGGAATAGAGCTCACGGAATTGGGGTTTATGATTGCAGGGATTTGACCGAGTGCCTGTGCACCCTGGCCGCCCGCCCATGCCAAACTACTTATGCAGTTTGCTTCAAAAGCTTGAATGGCAGTTACCCGAACCGCCCACCCTATCAATCAGTCTCCGAAGCTTCAAGACCATTGTAAACCCTATGATCGAAGAAGGACTGATGAACTCAGGACCTCGTTCAACCCCACGCGCGAAGTAAGTTCGGCAGCCGGACAGCCGCACCTACGATGAACCCTCCCAAAGTCTGTAAGACTGTAAGACCCCGAATCTGTAGGCGCCGGGGTCTGCACCGCAGGAGATGCTGCAGCTTGGCTGGGAGATGACACCAGCGTCTCGGCTCGACTGTCCGTGCACGTACTAGTACTGGTATGATCACAGACGTGCCGTAGTACCGTTAGAAATGTGCATGAGAGACACAAGCAGTTAAGACTCGTAATACTAGCACTGTTCCGCTGTTCTACCTGCATATGTTCTGGGATTTGCCGGCATCCTCACTACGGTTAAACTCCAAAGCCTTACACTCTACCAAGCAGGTGTTGGGTGAGAGTCATACTTGTGATGCTACATGGTTTAGGGGCATTGGGTTTACGGTGTGTCCTAGAATAAGAGAACCCTAAGGGTCCAAGTACCCAAATAGTAGGGTTTCAAGGTCCAAAAACCATTCAGGGTATAGATTTTGGGATCTGAAACCCTATTTTTAAGAAACCTTGGGCCTTTATTAGGGTTCCTTATATGAATCCTCATATTTTGGGGTTATAGGGAAGGTATCCAAGAAGAAACGGGCACAAAGCTAAGCTCGAGGCTCGCAACGCCCGTCTCCTGCTTGCTTTGGGCAAAGCCAGTGCAGAGGGCGGTCGCGAGGCTGGTGGAACAAAGGGTCCCCTCAACGGTTCAGGGTTTAAGGGTTTAGGGTTTAGGTTTTTGTTTTAATAAGTGTTCAGGGTTTCAGGGCTTAAGGGTTTAGGGTTCAGGTTTGTTTTTTAAAGGTTCAGGGTTTAAGGGTTTAGGGTTTTGTTTAAGGGTTTAGGGTTTGGGTTTGTTTAAAGGGTTCAGGGTTTAGGCTTTGGGGTTTAGGGGGGGTTTAAGGTGAGGGGGTTTAGGGGTTAAGTTTAGGGGAGTTCATGTGGGAACAGATGCAGCCCTGAAACCGCTGTGCACGCGGGGCCCTGGTCGTAGTAACACAGATCCCAAAGGCTCCATGTACCGTTATAGTAGAAACTTAAGCCCCAAAGTAGTCCCTATATAGGTACTTTAAGGCCTAAGTATATACTATATGGGTACATGGAGGTTTAGGGCATGATATGGTTGATTAACCATTGATATTGGGGGAGCTAAGGAGCCAAGGATGATGATAATCCCTATTAAATAAGGAGCTAAAGAGCCAAGGGAACCCCCAAAGCCACTGGTTGTTGATTCACATAATTTTCGCTTGGCTGTTTGAGATCGGAGAAATCACTACAACAAATCATTTCATTTATAGGAGTAACAAAGCTACGAGCAGAGGCATCATGGCCCGCAAGTGTAGGCAGAGCCTCCTAAAAGGCCTAAGGTGCAGAGCTATCATCCCGATCATCATGAAAAGAAGTCGGAAAGAACTCGACTGATCATCATCTTTGAATTGGGCCCACATTTTTCCAAAGTCATAGTGGCAGCACACAAGACAGCACGAATGGTACCCTACTTCTTGCTTGATCCTTCTACAGACCCCGGTTGTCTAAAGCGGCTTCCTGTCAAAACTCGCTCGTTCGCCCGAAGGGTCCATACACCCAAATAGTATATATCTGACTTTAAAGGGGTCCCTATGTAGGTACTTTAGGGCCAATGTCCTTGCTGTTTGGGCACATCGACCCATGTACCCTAAACCCTTATAGAACCCCTATGGTACGCTTAAAGGAACCCTATTTGGGTGCATGACCCCTTAGGGTTGATGAGCCAGGCCCTAAACCCTAAACCCTAAACCTCTCACTCTGTGAGAGAGAGCTTTCATGCATGTTGCCGATAAGTTCCTTACTAACCTCGCCCGTGGACTTTGCTTCCAGCCATGCGAGAGGGAAAAAAAACCCAAAACCCTTAAGGGCCACTTAAGGGTTGATGAGCCAGGCTTCCCTGGCGCGCTTCACCGCAGCACTTCTGCAGATGTCTGAAGGCCGGCTCGGGGCCTTGATTGTTAGAATAGGGTTCCCTTTAAGGAGGGTCCCTTTAAAGGGGTCTATATAAGGGTTACTATAAGGGATCGATCAGGGTACTATAATATAGGGGCCTTGATAATTTGAATAGGGTTTTGGGGCCATACTTCTAGTATGGAACCACCACAACAGTATTGGTGATTAGCTGGGCCCCTGTAGTAGGCCCTCAGGGAAAGTCTGGACTCGCAGCTTTCAGGTCTTTCCTGAGGCCTACTGAACGTGCTGGTTTTTGGCATGGGTCGATTGTGTATGTTCCTGCACCTCGCACCACCTCCCTCCACCCTGTCAAGTTCGACGAAGCCCATATCAAGGCTCTAGCAAAGGATACTTACATGGGAGTTTCCGAAAATAGGGGACCCTAATATAGTACCCTAAATAGTAGGATCCTTATTATAAGGACCCCCAACATCAGGTACCCCCGCGTTTTCGCAAACCCCCACATAGCCTGACTCAGGCACTTGCTCTGCAGCTGAGTTTCCCGACTCATAACCTCACCGTTCACCCGAAGCGATCAGTTACAAGCAATAGTCCAAAGTCACCTGACCCTATCCTCAGAAAAGCACGCCCCTAAGACCAAAGCCTTAAATCTTGGATCATGAGCCCGACGTCCCAAGGACTTTTCACAAACAAAACGCCCCCAGAACCCCAAGCCAAGTACAAAGCCCTTAACCTCCAGAGAGCCCTAAACCCCTAAACCCTCAGCTTGGGAGGATCGGGCAGGCGTAAGAAGGAGTTCAAAAAAAAAACCTAAACCCTACTGAACCCTAACCTCGAGTTGTAGGCTTCCCGATGCTCCTCTTCGTCGTTGATTGTTCCGGGGCCAGGCCTCTCGGAAAGCAAGTGTGGCGTCTTGAGACCAGGGACTGGTTGTGGAGAGATCGATTCCCCAAAGGCCACCGGTTCATGAGCCTGTATATATACATATAATACTATGTATATGCATACTTGTATATACATATGCACATACATACATTCTTACACACACATACACATACACGTACATATGCACATATATATATATGGTACCCCCCCCCCCATTGACCTACCCTTTTTGGTGTTTTTGAAAGGCAAGGGTGGGTCGGGGCGGGGTGTACCCGAATGGAGCGGCGTTCCCAAAGACCTAGTTTCTTAAAAGACTCAATCTTTCGGAGGTCGAGGGAGACTGTATCCAAAACCAAAAAAATTCAGGCCTCGCAGCACCTTGGAACTCTGGGCGCTGCCAAACACTGAGAGGCCTCAATCTTTTGGAATCCCGAACCTCAGAAAATTGAGGCCTCTCAGTGTTTTGCAGCTTCCAGATTCCAAAACACTGAGAGGCCTCAATCTTTTTATGATTTTGAAGCCAAAACGCTGGGAGGCCCCAAAAGACTCAAAAGACTCAATCTTTTGGAGGTCTCGGGAAACTATAACCAAAATCAGAAAAATTGAGGCCTCTCAGTGTTTTGCAGCTTCCAGATTCCAAAACACTGAGAGGCCTCAATCTTTTGGAATCCCGAACCTCAGAAAAATTGAGGCCTCTCAGTGTTTTGCAGCTTCCAGATTCCAAAACATTGAGAGGCCTCAATCTTTTGGAATCCCGAACCTCAGAAAAATTGAGGCCTCTCAGTGTTTTGCAGCTTCCAGATTCCAAAACACTGAGAGGCCTCAATCTTTTGGAATCCCGAACCTCAGAAAAATTGAGGCCTCTCCGTGTTTTGCAGCTTCCAGATTCCAAAACACTGAGAGGCCTCAATCTTATTGATTTTAAGGCTAGTTTCCTAAGACCTCCAAAAGATTGAGTCTTTTGAGTCTTTTGGGGCCTCCCAGCGTTTTGGCTTCAAAATCATAAAAAGATTGAGGCCTCTCAGTGTTTTGGAGCTCCCACAGTCCCAAAGTGCTGAGAGGCCTCAATCTTTTTGAGTCTTGAATCTCAAAAAGATTGGGGCCGCTCCAGGCTCCAGGTTTTGCAGCTCTCACAGTTCCAAAGTGCTGAGAGGCCTCAATCTTTTGGAGTCTTGAACTTGGTGCCGAGAATATCTGGCCACATTAGTTTTCTGCTTCTGCTGCCATTTTGTTTTGTTTGTTTGGGGCCCTGGGCCCTGTTACTCTGTTACTCTCATACTCTTATACTCTATGACTCTATTACTCTATTACCCTATGACTCTATTACTCTCTTACTCCAAAAGCTCTATTACTCTACTCTAGTACTTTATTAGTTTATTACTCTGTTACTCTATTACTCTATTACTCTATTATTCTATTACTCTATTACTCTAATACTCTATTACTCAAATACTCTATTACTCTATTACTCTATGACCCTATTACTCTATTACTCTATTACTCTATTACTCGATTACTCGATTACTCTATTACTCTATTACTCCCATACTCTATTACTCTACTACTCCACTAACTCTATTTATGACTCTACTACTCTATCTACTTTATTTCCTGTATGACTCTATGACTCTATTACTCTGCTACTACCCCTACTCCTACTACTACTACTACTACTACTACTACTACTACTACTACTACTCGTACTACTAATACTGCTATTGCTACTGTTACTGGTACTGCTTTACTATTACTATGCAGCACTATTACTATTACCATTACTATTACTATTACCATTACCAATGCATAAAGTCATGGAGCAAAGCCTGCGGGTCACGCGCTTCGCGCGCACTGTTCTTTGTACTATTACTCTATTCTTTATTACTCTATTGCTATTGCTCTATTGCTCTATTGCTTTATTGCTTTGTTACTTTATGACTCTATTAGTCTTTTCGTCTTTTAGTCTGTTTAGTTTGTTTAGTCTATTCGTCTATTAGTCTATTAATCTATTAGTCTACTAGTCTACTCGTCTATTCGTCTATTCGTCTATTAGTCTATTAGTCTATTAGTCTATTAGTCTACTAGTTTATTCTGTCTATTAGTCTGTTCGTCTATTCGTCTATTAGTCTATGATTGTATTACTCTATTACTCTTTACTATTACCAGTACTAGTACTATCTATAACAAACACGCGAAAAAAAAAACAAACAAAATAATGGCGACAAAAATAGGCCCTCCCTTGTCCATGCATCATTGCCACTCATTGCTCCTGAGACCCCCAACAAAGGTAGGTCAATGGGGGGGGGTAGCATATATATATATATATGCTAGCCCCCCCCCCCAAGACCAACCCTGAATTCCCTAAATTCCCTAATTCCCTACCCATTGGATTTAGGTATTCCCTAAATTCCCTAAATTCCCTAATTCCCTACCCCATGTGTTGGATCTGGGGAATTCCCTATTTCCCTAAATTCCCTAAATTCCCTAAATTCCCTAAATTCCCTAAATTCCCTAAATTCCTTAAATTCCTTAAATTCCTTAAATTCCCTAAATTCCCTAAATTCCCTAATTCCCTACCCCATGTGTTGGATTTGGGGAATTCCCTAAATTCCCTAAATTCCCTAAATTCCTTAAATTCCTTAAATTCCCTAAATTCCCTAAATTCCGTAAATTCCCTAAAGTCCTTAAATTCCCTAAATTCCCTAAATTCCCTAAGTCTGACCCCCATGGAGAAGATTCAATGGTTTCCGTTCATGGGTAGGGAATTTAGGGAATTTAGGGAATTTAGGGAATTTAGGGAATTTAAGGAATTTAGGGAATTTAGGGAATTTAGGGAATTTAGGGAATTTAGGGAATTCCCCAAATCCAACACATGGGGTAGGGAATTAGGGAATTTAGGGAATTTAGGGAAATTAGGGAATTTAGAGAATTTAGGGAATTTAAGGAATTTAGGGAATTTAGGGAATTTAGGGAATTTAGGGAATTCCCCAAATCCAACACATGGGGTAGGGAATTAGGGAATTTAGGGAATTTAGGGAATTTAGGGAATTAGGGAATTTAGGGAATTCCCTAAATCCAACACATGGTCCGGGCTGGGAGTCAGGAATGTTAGGGAATGCGCTAAAACCAACACATGGGGCTGGAAATTAGGGTATGTAAAGACTTTAGGGATTTAGGGAGTCTGCAGGAACTCACGCATTCTGTAAATTCGAGGCATGGAAGCAGTGATTAGAGAATTTAGGGAACTCGACCTCGCGACGTCGCCGGTTGACGTGTCTGTGCAACTGATACTTGTAGTAATATTGATATTATTTTGAAAACTTTGAAAACTATAATACTCATACGAGTACTAATACTTATAGTAATACTACTGGTGAAACTGATAGTATGCTAGTATGAATACTGATGTTCCCAAGAATACTTGAAATCATGTACATTGTATGAATAGTCTTGATGCGAATACTAATATACATACTATAGCTAGTATTATCGCTAGTATGAATATTGGCTATGCATATTCGTGAAATTACTCATTTTTGGAGTACTCATATTCATGCTAATATTAGCACTAAGGCTAGTGCGAACGTGCATAATAACATGCTCATACATGAATGTTAGCATTCGTATTAATATCAGCATTGGTATGTTTTTCAGTAGTACTAGTAACTCATACGAAGAGTAACCTCAAGTTTCATATTCCGACGAATACCAACGCATGTTTTGTTCATACTAATTTTAATTCTACTACTAGTATCTACTCCTAATATTGAAAAAACTGTACTAATACCAATTTTAGAATTGATGTGAACACGAACTTTAATGTTCTTGCCAATACTAATATGCATAGTAATATTAGTTAGCATTAATGTATAGGAAAACTAATGTTCTTACGAATACTAATAATCATGTTCCCCTTTTATATTCATATAAGAATCGTCATGCCTAGATACGTACTAATGCTAGTACTCATGCTAATACGAGTATTAATACCAATACAAGCATAGGTATGAATATTCCTACGGGTATTTATGCTCATGTTCTTAACAAAATTATTCTCAGTACGAATACCGACATTAATAGTCTCTTTAGAACCATATTGATATTAATATGAGCACTAATACTTCGGCTAGTACGAACATGCATAATACTAGCAAAATTATTTGTGCTCATACAAATATAGAAAGATTATTACATACTCATATTAATATCAATACCAATATGAATTTACAAACATCATATTAATGTCAATATCGTTTTTGTAATGTATACTAAAGAATACATCAGAATAAGGCACAAGGAAATGAATGCATCAGATTGTTAAAAACTCAATGTTTTCATTTACCAATATGTATGGTTATAGTATTATACTAATATACTAATAAATTAATATACTAATATACTGAGAAACTGATATACCAATAGACCATTGTTACTAATATACCAATATACGAGTATACCCAAAAAAATTTTTATTAATATATATGTTTTGTTTATATACCAATATACTGAATATACACATATGAATACTTATACACATAATGTACTAAGACTAAGTTTTTAAAGCCCAGCCCACGTCTAATATTAATACGAATACTAACACAAACACTAACACTGCTATAGACATATATTAAATTAAACTGGAGCACTAATACTCATATTAATATTAAGACTAACACTGACGTTGACACTGACACCAGCATCAGCACTAACAGGAACACTAATCAAACGAACAGTAATATTGGACAGATACCAGCAGCATTGTTAGAACTTCTAAAATTAGTAATGACACAAAACTAATAATAATGCTAACGCTAGCAAAAATATTAAGGTTACTGCTCACAATAATTGAGGTTCAAACTTAGAACAAAATTAAGTCAAGACCAATGTTAACACTGTTTTTTAAGACTGAAACTAAAAATAAGACTTTGACAAGATGACAACTCATGTTAATATCAATACCAATATGAATTTACAAACATCATATTAATGTCAATATCGTTTTTGTAATGTATACTAAAGAATACATCAGAATAAGGCACAAGTAAATGAATGCATCAGATTGTTAAAAACTCAATGTTTTCATTTACCAATATGTACGGTCATAGCATTATACTAATATACTAATAAATTAATATATTAATATACTGAGAAACTGATATACCAATAGACCATTGTTACTAATATACCAATATACGAGTATACCCAAAAAAAATTTAATGAATATATATGTTTTGTTTACATACCAATATACTGAATATACACATATGAATACTTATACACATAATGTACTAAGACTAAGTTTTTAAAGCCCAGCCCACGTCTAATATTAATACGAATACTAACACACACTAACACTAACACTGCTATAGACATATATTAAATTAAACTGGAGCACTAATACTCATATTAATATTAAGACTAACACTGACGTTGACACTGACACCAGCATCAGCACTAACAGGAACACTAATCAAACGAACAGTAATATTGGACAGATACCAACAGCATTGTTAGAACTTCTAAAATTAGTAATGACACAAAACTAATAATAATGCTAACGCTAGCAAAAATATTAAGGTTACTACTCACAATAGTTGAGGTTAAAACTTAGAACAAAATTAAGTCAAGACCAATGTTAACACTGTTTTTTAAGACTGAAACTAATAATAAGACTTTGACAAGATGACAATAATTAATAAAGGATGAGGCACACAAACTGGACTCTGTCTTTTACCACTCCGACAAGACGCGCCGAGAGTGTAAATGGTGTCCATAAAACTGGACCCTGTTTTTTACCAGTCTGTCAAGAGGCGTCGAGAGTGCAAACTTTGTACGGGAACACAAACACCATCGGTATTTACAGTGGTTTCGGCTCTTATTCATGACGCTGTGAAGACAGTAATGAGCAGGACAATGGCCGAGGTTGGTCCTGGGGGGGGGGTTACCATATATATACATCTGTACACCCATATACTTATGCTTACACATACGCATGATTACACATGCACATGCATAATTACATGCTGGTTGATTCTCGATGATAGGGACTCACGCATTGCTGCGGATAGGGCCGACAACCGTTAAGAGATCCCGAAGTATACACGAAGGGCGATTCCGGAAGCGGGGGTGTTGGAGCCTCTTATATGTAAAGCAAAGTGTGGGGGTTTAGGGTTTGGGGCAATTTCGTGTCCTGGTGGGGCCTGACAGAACAACAGCCGCGAGTGAAGTTGTTTCCTGTAGATTGAAGATCTCCATCGAACAAGATAACTTCTTGTTCTTGTGAAGTTCTCCCAGCTAATTACAGGGCTTGATCGTTCCAGCCAAGTTCCTTGCTGTGCACGCACTCATTCGAATGCATCGTGGGCCTACGCATGCAATTTCTTCTTGTTTTTGTTCCGAACAGAGTTTGTGCAACAGTATATGGGGGTTTCAGAAAATGAGGGACTGAAGCCCTGCCGCTCAACCACAGCAGCGGCGCAGGATTTTAAGGTGTACAGTTTGGGGGTCTAGGGCTCAGGCGGCATTTGAGGCACCATGCCGGTCTTATTATAGTATTTCGACACCTAAAATTGGGAAAGGCCTGGGTATATAAGGGCTGCGGCCGTGTACAGGGATCCTCAAGGTAACCCTGATAGATCCCATTATAGGAACCCCCAAATCGCCAGCCGAATGAGGCAATGGCCCAAGAACTTTAGCAACTAACCCCAACTCCTGAGCCGACTGAGGACATGGCCCAGCACCCTGACCCTGAATTCCGAAACCTAAGCCAAATCCTGCGCAGATGAAGGAAATGTGGGACAGAAGCTGGCGTAGAACGGGCAGTCGCGGCAATGGCCGAATGCCTGCAGCGACACGCCACAGGCCCCGCTAGCGAGGATGTCCCTCGGGGTGTAGAGTTGAGAGCCTGTTTGCCGAGTTCGGTTGAAGCGACCCGAAAGTGATAGAATTGCAGACCTTTTCATTGCAGGGTCGGGTTTCCGCGTCGTGGTCTCCAGCACTGGTCCATTCAGGGGTCTAGGTGTCTACAGTTAGCATGTTCATTGTGTTTCAGGCTTTACCTATATAGTCTCCATTATAGTTCCTTTTTTTGGTTGACCAAAATCTCTATTATAGGATCCTAACCATAAAACTGGTTAACCAAAAAAGGAAATACAATGGAGAACTAGGTAGACTCTAAACCCTCATCCCTAAGGCCCCCCTGCACCCTTGTCCTTCTAGAAATAATAGACAGAACCCTATACCTATATCCCGTAGTAGGTCAAAGGAACTACAATGGAGACTATAGGGTACGTGTTTTGGTGCAGAAGTCGCTTCCCGGCCTCTCACCTGCCAGGTGTGACATGCGGCGCAACTCGGCTCAGTAGTTTCCCTTAAGGGACCATGTAAGTCCATGCACATATGGGTAGTTGTCAAAATTAGGGTCCCGTTTTGGGTGCCCTAAATATTAGGTGCCGTATTATAATAAGGACCCAAAAAGGGACCAAAATTTTGACAACCACCCATATGCATATAGTCATGATAGCAGTATATACTGTGGCCTTAGTGTAATTCTGAGTTCGGTGCTTTAGGGTCCAGGTACATAGCATGTGGGCACATGGACCTCTCTAAGCGGTTTTGGTGTCTGCAAGATTAAGGGGTTGAGGGTTCGGGGTCTCTGCTACTAAAGTATATATACATATATATATATATATATGAGATATAAATCATAAACCGAACCAGAACAGGATGCACAAGTCGTGAGCTTCGGGTTGTTGGGTTTGGGCTTTGCTTATACCCATGGACTACCCTAAGCCCCAAAGAAGGAAATGCATTTAGCAAATACGCACAAAGGAACAGCTTTTTATGCGACAACCGCCAAATCGATCACGGATGAAGCAAGCCCCACCCGATTTTAAACCTACTTGTTCCTACACAGGGAAATCACCATAAGGAACACCAAAACACGGCAGGTCATTTAGGCTTCCGGTAATCCCTGAACCCGAAAGTTGAAAGTTGTTGGAGCCTCGGCTGAACCTAGACTTAGGTGCCAGGGAATACCCTGTATAGTTGGCCTCGGCTTGTATTCGGAGCATTATGTTATTACCTTTGACGCCAAGCCCAAGACAAACTATACATACGATTCCCTCATACCTAGACTTAGGCCGCGCACCCTTTCACTTTATACTACCGACATGGGAGGTTTCGGGTTACAGGGTTTAGAGGGGTCGGGGTAAGGGTACTAATCCACCGACTCCCCAGCCGAAGAGGCCAAGCGTCTAGATCCTTTACTTTGCAACCCAAAAGGTCCAAGTAACAGTTTACTGTATACTTTGGGGGCCCAAATAAACAGACACTAAGTGCCCACTAAAATGGTACTTGAACCCTTTGAGAACTTGGAAATAGGGCGTACAGGGTCTGGACCCTAAAGCCGTAAAGATCGGCGGCAGGCGCGGATAGGGTTTAGGAAAGTTGATTCGTCAGAATCAGTCGCGGGCTAAACCCTGCACCTTTGATCCTGATACTCGAATGCCTTCAAACCTCAAGGCGCGAGAGTCTTGTACCCACATACAGAGTTCACTTTTGGCACAGCTCACCCACCAAACCTGCCCTTCCTGCAGGAACCACCTGTGTGGTGCTACAGCGGAGCACTGCTGTCTCTCTTCCATAGAGTCTCCGCCTCCTCTGTTGGGTTGAAGGTTCCCTGCCTACTCGTGTGCTGTGGTTGTACACATAGGTGCTGTCCCGCACAACGGTCACTACCGCACACGATTTTGGTAAAATCCGGCGGCAGGGCGTGGTGGACAGATGATGACATGGTTGCTGTGATTCCTCGTGCGAGCGAGGGGTATCACCTAGCATGGTCCACTTGTCGGCAGCGGCGGAGTTGCAACCTCATGAGCAAGTCCCAGCCGTGGCTGTGGACATGGAGCAGTGTGACTCTCGCGCTGACACCATTGCTGCAGCTGAACCAAGTTTGTCAACCCTAAACCCTAAACCCTAAACCTAGCTTACTTGGGGCATTGCCCTCATGCCCTGAACCCCTATGTATCCTAAGGGTACCCTACAGAACAGCTCGGAGAAGTTCAGGTCATTACCTACAGCCCGGCAGAGGTGGTCCAGGAGTGCGCCGTTTGTTGTATCTCACAGAGTTTGTCAAGGGTTTCATCGGTTTTCGTTAATCAGGATTGTTTGGATGTGCATAAATGAAAGGCTTTCGTAGGGTTTCGGTTGTGTTCTAGTCGTACTACGATGACGTGCTTTACTGAGAGAAGGGTCGTGGGATGTCGTGGGTTTGGGGCTTTGGCTGTTTAGGCATTATCCTAAAAATGCCATCTAGCCGTCAAAGAACGTACGGACTTGTGCGGGAAGTGGTCGAACATCAGGGTCGACGTATCGGGTCTGGTGTTCCTGAAGACTGTAGAGTTCTGCCATTGTAGCACAAAGACTTTGAGCTATAAAGGAGGTCATGATGTGAGGGCAGCAAGTTGCAAGCTTCGTGCCTCGACGCAGAAACAACATCATAATATCGACATAAACCCTACCAGACGGATGCAAAGACAACGACACAGTGCACAGTTCGTGGAGTTAAACGCGTCTTGAACCGAAACTAGCTTCGGAGTACATGGAGGTAGGAAGGTTGCCTGAATAGTCTGAATAGTGGCAGCATGAAGGATGCCGGTTCTCACAACTCTCATGCATGAGTACCTGCTACCGAAAAGACCTACGTTTTTAGGGCTTATTATGGTCTCTGTGATAGTTCTCTAAAAAGGTATGTCTGTTGGGCTACAGCTACTGCTTACTATATACAACTGGTTTAGGGGTGTGGTCTTTCTTGGAAGAGAGAGTGGAGACTCTGCTACCACAATATAATAATATACCAGAATAGACCATAACAGACCATAACATACCATAATAGACCTTACAAGACCATCATAGACCTTTGCAAGTGGGCACAATTTGGAGGAGCTCGGGCCGGACCTACCCTCGCTCACGGCGGCACTAGCGGCAGCGCGAAGGCAAGACGAGGCCCAGGAAGAAAATTCCCAGATTCCTGGGTTCAAGGTATCCTAAATAAGAGCCCTTATGAACTTACATATGGTCCTCAATAGACTTAATAGACTGAATAGGGAGGGTTCGTGCAGTGTCTAGGCTTTGGGATACAGGGTTTGGGCTTTGAGAGGTTCTTGTTAAAGGATTTAATTATTTAACCTACCATGATAAGGAAACCATACTATCTAGCATAGATCCCGATGTATGGTAACTTGATTACACTAAATCTCTTAACAAGAACCAATTCCGATAGGCACTACAAGCCCAATCACCAGGAGCTATCGGTAAAACCATAACCCCTGCATGCTGCTGACTACCTTAGATTTCCTTAAATCCTACCATATCGGGTTACAGGTATACGGCTGTCAAGACCTCCTGCTCCCATCACTCAATCAATCTCAAAGACTCTCAATGTAAGGGCACTAAAGACCCACCATCGAACATGTAAGAGTGAGGGCCTTCCTGTATGCAGGAAAACCAAGCCCTACACCCAAAAGGCCCATGGGACCGAGCCTGCATTGAACAGCTTTTCATAAATAGGAAACCCTGAGGAGCTTTAGCCCTTACCTCATAGAGCCCAAAAGTCGGGGTAGGAATAGTCAGTCGCATTTACTCCCTCGGGTTCTGCATTTCGTACATGTGTAGCATGGCTCCCAAGCCGCTAATCAGAACCCAGATAAACCTCGTGATACCCTGTCGAGAAGACCCCATAGAAATAGGTTCAAGATATGGGTGGTTGTCAGAATTATGGTCCGTTGGTGTTTCCGTAATATAATACGGCACCTACTATTTAAGGTACCCCAAAAGGGACCCTAATTTTGACAACCATCCATATGAAGGCAGCTTGTGGGCTCGCAGTGCAGGTCGAAGTTGCGAAAGCCCTGCGTTCGGCGAAAGAGTGCCCTGGCCGAATTTAAAGGATCCAAGCGAAGGCTCCGAGATTGTAGGATAGGGTTTAGGGTTTAGGCTTTATAAAGCTTTAAGTTTTGGGGGCCAAGGTTTTGTGATTTTACAGGAACTTACGATTTGGGATCCTTTAAGCTTTAGGGCTTTATTTTGGGGCATTGGTTTTGTAGGGTTTAGGTTCAGAATTCTGGTTTAGGGTTTAGGACTGTTGGTTTAGGTTGTAAGAGGCTACTGATTGGGAGGATCCGGGGTTGAGGTTGTGTGTTTCTGGGTACTTAAAGGGTCATTGCACTTAGTAGCTAGGGTTATTAGTGGGGTAACTATACTTATAACTACTTCTAACCCCGACTAAGGGACTTGTAACCATACTTACTAAGTCCCATGATCCTCCAAGTATATGTCAACCTATATACACATGGTGTAAGGATTTAGGATCCAGGGTCTAAGCATATACAGTCAAGGTTCATAGCTTCCAGAATCCAAGCCTTTGGGAAAGGTGCCGAAAATGCTTAACCCCCAAAGCACTCTTCGTTTTAAGCATGGCTTTGACTCGGATCAGGTCTGCAAAGCTTGCAAAGTAGGGGCCGTGGTGCAGGAAAAGGTGGTGCTGCTGCTTTGCGTCGCTCATGAGGGGGTTTCCGAAAAAAAAGGTACCCCAAAAAAATATGGGTGGTTGTCAAAATTGGGGTCCCTTTTTTGGGTGCCCTAAATATGAGGTGCCGTATTATATTTGGGATCCAAAAAGGGACCATAATTTTGACAACCACCCATATAGCACTCTAGATAGTAGGACGTAGTAGGATCCTTGTTATAAGGACCCCCAAATATGGTAATTACTCAGCTACAGAGGCTCCAGCCACCCCCCCACCGCCCTCTATGGCACATGTTAAGTACCCTAAGGCTCCATAGTATATACTTAGGCCTTAAAGTACCTATATGGGGACCCCTTTAAGGCTTAAGTATCTACTATACAGGTACATGGAGCCTGTGGGGTATATGCTTCAATGGTCTGTTAGGCTTAAGATACGTTGGCGTTTCCTGGAAGGCCATTCGATTCCCCAGTAGCCTAGAAACGAAATCAAACATAACGCGTACGAAGAAAGCCCAGACCCCGAAGCCCTGAACCTTCAGCTGAGAGATATCAGAGAAAGCATTCAAAATCCTAATGCGCCAATTTGTGAAACTACAGACCGCTAATTGCCTAGTCCTGCGTTAAGCCTTGGAGTAAGCCATCCCTGAGTAAACCCTTTTTGCAACACTAGAGGTGCTCAAACCCTAAATCCTAACCGTGTATAATTCCTAAACCCCAATGAAGCTCATCTGGACCCTCCATCTGCCCCCTATTCGCCCGTAACTATCACTTTTACCCCTATTTGAGGGTATAAGGGGGGGGGGTCCTGGCAGACTCAGGCAACTAAAGCTGGGCAAGAAAAGCCTTACCGAGGCCGAGGGGGCAGCCTTGTCTTTTTTCATGGTTCCCCCAAAAGAATAAACAGACCTACTAAGGGATATAGGTATAGGGCTCTGTCTATTATTTCTAGAAGGACAAGGGTGCAGGGGGGGCCTTAGGGATGAGGGTTTAGAGTCTACCTAGTTCTCCATTGTAGTTCCTTTTATGGTTAGCCAGTTTTATGGTTAGGATCCTATAGTAGAGATTTTTGGTCAACCAAAAAAAGGAACTACAATGGAGACTATAGGTAGGACTTGAGGTTTCGGCTGGTCGGCAGAGTCTGGGTTGAAGGAGGGGTTTCAGGTGTAGGGTTTCAGGGTTTAGGGTTTAGGACTGATGGCGTTTCAGATTTGGAACATAACTGCGTCATAGCAGGGAGCGGGAGAGTGGAGATAGAAGGCACGACTCCTTCTTGGGTTGCGAGCTGTGTCTTTGCTGCTGACATTCGTAAGCGTCCAGTTGTAATTCGGGGCTCAGGCAGGGTTTGGAGATTTTTGCTAAGGCTTGGTATGCTGGGCTTGAGGTTTGGCACCGGGGCTTAGGCTTTGGACCTCAACTTTGCAGGTTTTGAGCCTTCGAAGCTTTCGAAATCGGGGTTTTATAGTGTTGGATTCAGGTTTTGGTTCCCCGGATTTCGAGGTTAGCAGCTTTCATTTTCTGAAGAAAGGCAATCTCCAAAAATGAGCCAACCTGCGCTCACGAGACATGGCTCACATAGCTCCCTAGACCCTAAACTCAGAGGGTCCAAAGTACATACGGAATTACTATTATGAGTTGGGGAAGGATCTCCCATAGCAGTACATAGGACCCTTTGGGGAAACCCTGTAAAACTTAAACCTTATACACTATAAACCCTAGACCATAGACCCTAAACCCTAAACCCCTAAACCCCTAAACCCCTAAGCCCTGAACCCTCAAACCCTAAACCCTAAACCCCTAGACCATAAACCCTAAACGAAAGCCAGCAGCCCAAGAACCCCCTGGGAAGCTGAGGGTTTAGTTGGGATGAAGCAGCCGCTGAGCTGCTGAACGAGCTGGGTTCAGAAGTTAGGGTTTAGGGCTCGTAGGGTTTATTAATTAGGGTTTATAGGGTTGTAATAGGATTTGTAGGGTTCAGGGTGCAATAGTGTTTAGGGTTTAGGTTTATAGGGTTTGGGATATAGGGTTTGAGGCTCAAGCTACCAACGCGCACATCCTTCGGCAAATGCTACTGCATCTTACAACCGCTGCTTCCAGTTCCTTGTTTACTGTGGAATTATGTGTTTTTGTTACGCCCCATCTCACGCCCTCAGAACGGCGACAAGCAGCCGATCGTCATCCACATCGCCGCAAGCCACGCCGGCAATGCAAAGGCCATCATGCCGAGTTTCAATCATAGCTAATGTAGGAACCTGATCAAGAAACCCTGGTTCTCCAAGGACCCTCTGTTGGACCCTGCATCTCGAAGCGGGTCCTGGAAGTAGGGTCCATGGAGCCATTCTGGTGTGAGTAATAAGCAAACCTTAGAATGAGCATGAATTGGTAACTACGGAATCAAGGGGAAGCTGTCGAATTCAGGGGTGTTGCGACTGGTGGTCCTGCCTTGCCTTGTTTGTTATAGAACAGCCACCGAAAGAGGGGAACTTCTGACAAAGCCGTGTTTGGGAAGTCGGTTGGGTCGGCATCACCACCAAAATCAGCGCCCACAGACACCCTCAATTACCAAACCCGGAACCCTGAATGGTTCATTGAGACGGCCTGGGGTGAATGGTTTGGGCTGCAATGGGGGCGTTCAGGGAGAGATCCATGCGCCAGTGGGCTGACCCACCCCGTAAGATCACAAACGACATCAAACAACTCGAAAAGTGCAGTGTCCAGGGGCCATCAGGGGCCTGTCAGCTAGGATGGACATCTGACGGCTGAAATGCATTGATGTGGTGTTGGGCGTTGACGACCCCAAAAGCACGACAAGCCTGTCAACAAAATGGACCCTAAACACTAGCCCGGAACTCCTTCGACCCTAAACCCTACAAGCCCGAAGCCCTCACCTGGACCCCCCTAAACCCTAAAACCCCGAATCCTTAAACCTCAAACTCCAAAATCCCTAAGCCCTGAAAGGAGGCCTTTAAGGAACCCTTTACTAAACCCTAAACCCTAAATGGACTATGTGGAGCCTTGCCTGCCTTGTGCGAGTGTGAGCGTCGAAAACGCGCAGCCGCACCCTAGAAGCCCTAAGACCAGGACTCCGCCAAGGCGATGAAAGTCCTCGAAGCCTTGGGAGCCACTCGCTCGGCGTTTCAGCTCTTTCCTTTTTTTGGGGAGGTTTAGGGTTTAGTGTCGACCTAAAGGAAACTACATTTAGGGTTTAGGATTTAGGGTTTGGGGGGTGTCTGAACTGAAGATTTTGTGGTGTTTCGCCTCCGATATGCTCAAGGAGACTTGCTAGAGTAACAAAAGGGGTTTCAGAGAGTTCGATCGGGTTTCATAGGCAGGTCTTTATCCGTTTTCCCTATTGGTTACATAGTCTACTTGCTCCAGCAAAAGGGTTCCATTCATACAGCTGCCATACGGGTTCGACCTGGATTTGTGTAGAACTCGGACTTTGAGCTCCAAAACGTGAGTTGAGGGTTTAGGGTTTAGGGCTCCGCAGTGGCACACTCCTGGGATCGGAATCTGTGGAGGGTTCGGGTCTGCCTTAGAGTAGATGTGTTGTTGCTTGCCTGAACCATACACCTCGTGGCTGGGGATGTAGGAGAGGGCTTTCAGCCCTAAACCCCAATCCCCTAAGCGTGTGCAAGGGTGTCTAAGCCTAGGGACCCACCAGGGCACTTCAAACACTTGAGAAAGGCCCTCCTATAGTGTTTGCAACCTCCTAGAGCGTGCTTGGGGTTGCAGGCATGGTCTACCGTCTAGGATCTGGGCTAAGGCATTGTGGCCTATGAACCTCGCAACTTAATCTGTCGGCCCAAAGAAAATCCCCTAGACGCCCTGGTAGATCCTTAGCTGGACCCTCTCCGTAGCAGAGCTGCCGCACCCCACGACGATGAATGAGCAATCAAGCCACTTACACCCACAGGCGATCCTCAACCTTGAAGTATTAGGGAGACCCCTTAAAGGGGACCCTTCTGAACCCTACCCCTGGCTCTCTTAAAAGGGACCTCATTGTGAGGGTCTATATACCCATGGGTCACCCTAGTCCCAACTCCTACCTGCAAACTATAATATACATCCACAAACTTTGCCTAACCTGCAAAACAGAAAGCTGTGCTACTCCAGGTGACGGTGCTCGGTTTGGGCATGGGTGACATCAAGGCTGGGCGACGACTCCGTCCGGCACTGCAGGGTTTAGGGATTTAGTTTAGGGTTTACGGTGTTATTTCAAGGAGTGGAGGGCTGCACATGGTTCCGGCTTCAAACTCAAGCTTGCCATGGTAGTGTAGGTTTAGGACTCGGTCGAGCCGGGAGTCATAAAAAAAGGTTTAGGACTCAGGATCTACAACTAACCATTGATATTGGGGGAGCAAAGGAGCCAAAGATGATGATAATCCCTATTAAATAAGGAGCTAAAGAGCCAAGGGAACCCCTAAAACCACTGGTTTGACAAGGTCAGGGATCAAACAGATTTAGAGTCAGGATGGTTGAGGGGGCAAAGTCAACTTTTGCTCGCCATGACCCACCTTCAGAATTTTTTGCTCCCCTTCGACCCAAGATAGAGTTCCGGGGGAGGGGGGGGGGGCTTGCGCAGCAGGGCCACCAGTCTTCTCGATAGCATGTTGAACTCGCAAAAATGGGAAAAACTGATCATTCTGGTTTGCGACCGCTGGGGAAACTGGACCTAGGATCTGTATAGGTCAGGGGTGTGAGGGTGCCTTTGCAGCTATCTAGGACCTGTTACAGGTCAGGGGGTTCGATTGCAGCTACGAAAGCCTATAAGCTCGATATTATGGGAGCAGCCCACCCTTATTAGGCTGTTGTACGTGCTACAAGTATCGAGACCAATCTTAAAAGAAGAAGAGCAGACGAGTCGTGCGAAAGGCAACCTTAAACCGCACATCCCGAACACTTGCTTTGCTTGCAACCTTTACCTTAAACTATCATAACTTCACTCTCTTATAGGTTCTGATTTGGTTTTAATAAGCCCTAACGCAGAGTTTGTAGTGACACTACAAGAAAGTTGGGTTTCGTTAGTTTGAGGTAAGGTACGGGCTTTGCATGGTTTAGGGTTTCGGGTCCTTCTGGGAGAAAGGTTGGGCGCTTTGCGGTGTCACGGCTTGTGCTTCGGAGTTAAGCCGGCTTCGACGGGGTTCATACTTGGGCGTACTTTGCGGCTTAGGTGGGGGATGGGCTGATGCAGTCAATGCAGTCTATGGTTCATGACATCTCTAGACATGTCTTGCGGTTAATGGCCGGCAATCCTGAGCCATGAAGCCAACAATAACACAGCTTTGTCTGAGTACAAAGACCTCGATTTGTGTTTCCTGCCTTTTGGTACACGGACGGGTGTCGGGGGTCGGGCGGTTGGACCTATGGGTGGAGAGATTGGGATTTGCCTTGAGCGGAAGGAGTTGATCAGCATTACCAACCCATCGCAGAATCCCTCATGCTCCGACCTACGCACAGAACACTTCCTGAACCACCCTAAGCCCTAAAACCTAAACCCCCTCTCCTCGAAGCAAGGAAGCAAAGCAACCACACCATATATCACAGAACCTCCTCAACCTCTTCGAAACAGTCAAGAGAGCAACAAAACAAGCAAAGCACATCGAAGCCATGGCGCCAAACGTCAGCGGCCAGAGCCTTGCCGTGGCTGCCCTCGGGATCGGTCCCTTGGGGGTTTTAGGGTTTCGGGTGTAGCGTTTAGGGGCCAGAGTTGAAGGTTTTAGATAGGCTTTAGGGGTTGGGGTTTGGGATTTCTGGGGTCTTGGCTCTGGTCCGTTTATAAGGTTGGTGGGTTGTGTGTGTTTTTTTGTTGTTCGGATCCGGATTAGCTGTCTTGTTTGGTCGGTTTGGGGTTGCCTGATTTTGGAGTTCAGTGTTTTAGGTTTGACCGGGGGTTTAAGGGTCTCGGTTTTGCAGTTTCAAGGTTATTTGTGGGAGGGGTGGGGGGTGGGGGTGGCATCAAGGCGGGTGTAAGCGTTGGGGCTTGATGTCTCGCAGAGGAAGAAGGCTCAATTGGAATTCCCTCAAACGGGGAGAGAATCAGATCCTTTGTTCTCTTCGGTTTAGAGGTTCGTTTTCGGGGAGGGTGGGTTAGGCATTTGGTTTGTGTTTTGGTTCATCATTACTAAGGGATGAAGGGCACTATTGGTTTGTCTGCTTTGTATCGCCCAATGGATTCAACAAGCCGACCGACTAACTGTCGCTCATAAATGTGCGTACTGGGGTTTGGGTCAGTAGTTGTGTGGGTTTGCATCTGCGGGGAGGATATGAGATAATCTGACAAATAAGCTGCGATCATGGATTTAGGTTCTGATTGTTAATCCTTTTGGCGTACTGGGCCCTGAGGGTTTTGTGCAGCTAGGTAGTCAGCTTTCTTAGTGTCCCTTTCCTGTGGCGATCCTGAGTATATGAGTTGCCGACCCGCTGCGAGCACGGCACGGCAGAAGTGCTCTTGAAAGGCGAGCCGCCCTGGAGCGCAACATAAAAAAGCCTCGAACATGAACACTTTCGCGAGAGTCAGAGACGAACACTTAAAACCCGAAGCTGTCAACACCAAGAGGCTAAATGCAAACCCTAAAACCGCAGACCTGTAACCACACAAAAAGACTCTGAAACAGCCAGCCCTACTGTTCTTCAACGCCTCCTCCTCAAAGCTTCAAACCGCTAGTGGTGCAGCGCTGACGTATAAGTCAGGCTCTATAAGCTTTACATCGAAGGGTCCTCAGTACTTATCTACTAGAATGTAGGGTTTCTCTACTATGAATTGCTGTTATGAATTGGGAGTACCCTAAACCCTAAACCGTAAACCCTAAACCCTAAACCCCTAAACCCTAAACCCCTAAACCCTAAATGAGTTGGGGAGACTGGCACACCTGAGAATCCGCTTCAGTCCTTTTCACACCGACTCAGCACCCAAGAACCTCGCCTGGCTTCGTCCGAGTTGTGAGAGCGTAAATGAGTTGGGGAGTATCCTTCCATAGCAGTACGTGGGAGCCCTTGGGCCCTGTTTGCATCAACAGTACCTGGAGCTGTTCTGTCTGTACTGACCCTACTAGCCTCTTGGTGGTTGTGATCGTGCCCGAAACCCTATCTATCGATCTAGCATCTATCTTTCCATCATTCTATAATCTATAAGCAAATAAATAAATAAATAAATAAATAAATAAATATATATATATATATATGTATATATAATTATATATATAGTGTAGTGTAGATTGCATCCCATATCATATACGCCCTAAAATCGAAGCCGAAGGTGCTGGCGCCGTCGCTCTCTATGCCGCGTTACGTTGGGGCCTTGTTCCCCCCATACTGCCTCCTTCCCGCCCAACTTGTTTTTCGGGCCCGACAAGGCTGTACGAGGGCAGTGCAAGGTTTAGAGAGTGTTTGCCGGGGATCGAACATATTTCACTAAGGTTTCGCAGTGATTTGGGAAAGCGGAATCTGGGATGTATGAGCTGTGGCATGGTTCGCAGCGATATCCTTTGATGTGTTGGGGGGTTACTTGTGGAATGCAGACCCCGTTGTAAGACCCCAAATCCGCAAGACCTACTCTTCAAATTCTGCAACCACAAAAGGCAAAGTCCTATACAGTTCCACAACATCTTTCTAGGGCCCCTGGTGAAAGCTCACCGACAAAATGTTTCAGATGCTCCAACAGGCTCGGTAACCTAAACTCCCTAACTCCCTACATAAACCCCCTAAACCCCATACACCCTCAACCCTAACCGTAAAGGCTTTCAGGTCAGGAGCAGAAGTCACTGAGCTCTCAACCCTAAACCACTTCCTGGGAATCCAGAAACCTACTGTTTTTTCAGGTATCGTTTATACCCTTTAATTGAGGGGTCAGAACCTACTATTCTGTAGGGTCTAGGGATACAGGTTAACCCCAAGCTCTAAAAGCTTGAGACCGCAATTCTCCCCCAGGTCCGCGAAAAGCCTCAGCACAGCCGGCTGCTGCAGCAGCCGCTTTGTTCCGAATCGCTCAGAGTTGCGCTAGTAAGGGTGTAGGATTACGGGATAAGTCAGAGAGCCGAAGGTTTAGAGTTTGGGGCTCGCAATGGAGGGCTCAAGCTTTTTGTGTGTCCAGGCTTGCAACATATGTGAGTCCGGCTGCCCTGTACCCTATAATGATATGAGCCGCATGCAGAGCCTAAGTTCTAAGTCATAGAAGATAGCTTCAACACTAAGCGTGTGTAGGGCTTCACTTTTCGGTTTCGTGCAATTGAAAGATCCACCTCAACATCATTAAAACAACCTTAAACCCAGAACCCTATAACCCATAACCCTAAACCCTAACAGAAGAAACGGTAGCCATCTGACCTCATGAAGCCGTGCCTTCGTCGATCGAGTGTGCGAGTCGAAACCCTTAATTCATAAACCCTAAACCCTAAACCCATAAACTTACAAACCCTAAACCCTATAACCCTAAACCCTAAACCCATAAACCCTTTTTCCATATGAGCCTCCTCGGCCTCACCTTGCTACTTGTAGAAAAGCATATGCAAGGGCTTTAATGATTTGAATGTGTTTTTTGGGGGGTACATTTAATTCGAGGTCCCTACATTAGCCTCCCGTTGCAGAAGAGTAAAGCGAGAGGGGAAGAGCGGGGAGTCTGAAATGGCCAAGCTGACCGCTGTTTCATAAGGACCCTTAGGGGGGTAAGGGGAGCGGGGGTAGGGGGCCTCAATGTCCATAATAAGGACCTCATAAGGCTTATCCAAGGAAGTATAGTAGAGTCCCCTACCCCCCTCCCTCCTAACCCCCTAAAAAGTCCCTATGATTCATGGATCTTCAGGGTTGTGTGGTTTTAGGGTTTGGGCCTGCAGGGTTGTCGGGTTTTGAAGCGTTTGGCTTTTTTCTGGGGACTTGAAGTACAGATTGTTCAAAGTCTTCCGAATCGCACCATCAAGCGTTTAGGTCTGATGATGACGGTATGATTCTTGTGAATGCTGTGAGGTCGCGGCGAATGGCATGGCAGCCCATCCACGGCCCGAGGGTGGTGCGACAGCAGCCGCGAGGTCTCTAGGGCTTTCCTTATAGGGTATACGGTTATAGTCTGAGTCTGACTAAAGTCTTTAAACTTTGAAGAAAGGGGAAGCGAGCAACAATTCGATAATCTACAATAGAAAAACACGCCGAACCAGAAGGCATGTATTTCCCTAAGCACTAAGCTCTGAACCGTGTGCCCCAACTCTTTCTTGTTGCCCAAGCTTAGTGTGATGGCCCAAGGAAGAGGGCAATTTTCAGAGGTTAGAATATCAGGTCTGCCATCCCCTTGTAAACTGCAGGCCTGTATCACGATCTGGCCTAACACGCACATATGGTCAAAGGTTGGGGCTCCCACGGCGAATTTAGCAGGATTTGGATGACAAAATCGCTGCACAGGGACAGGACTGCTGCAGGTGTAGGGTTTAGCCTCGAGGTGACATTGTCTTTGCCCCTTCTGTAACATCATGGAACATCAATCCCAAACCCTGAACCGAATCAAGAAGGTTTGAGCCAGAGCTTCAGGAAAGATCCTGTAGCCATAACCTGAACTCTGAGAAAAGCATGCCCACGTCATATTGCCGCGACAGACCCTTCACCCCAGACGTTTAGCGTTTAGGGCTTCGTTAATCCATGTAAGTAAGTCTAGCTCTACCCGACGTACGGTATACTCCTTTGTGAATTGTGGGTCTCTGGGCAACCCACTAGGTGGGGTTCTCGGCTAAATAGTTTTATAAGAGTTGCGGTTCACGTTTTTGGGGCTTAGGAATTGACTTTAGGCAAGACCTCAGGAATTCATTTAAAATCTCCAAAGTTGACCTCTACTTGTAGTTTCGGGGTTGAAGGCTTCTTCATCCGTAAGCCCTAGACTCTAGACCCTAAAGCCTAAACCCTTAGTAACGGTAGCAACCACACCTCTTGAAGCCGTGCTGGCGTCGAGCGAGTGTGCGAGTCGAAACCCTAGACCCTTGAAGGCTTTTCTACATCCTGTATTTCGTTCACCTGTGAGGCTTCGGCGGCTGCTTGCGGAGCGCCAGGAAATCATCGTCATGCCCTGCTGCCTCTTTCCTTACAACGCAAGAGTTCATTAAAAAAGTTGCCTTCAAGCGTTTCTATGAAGAATTTCCGGGATCAGGATTCCGAGATTCAGGGTTTAGGTTTCACGGTTTTAGGGTTGGGGTTTAGCACTTAATTATAGAAGCTCATGACGGGCTTCTCCTGAGACCCAGTGTATTGAGAAGTTCAAAATACCGGATTGATTATCAGACTTTGCTAGCAGACGATGGAAGCCCTAGGCAGTTGTCGCCCTAAACCCTAAACCCAAATACACCCTAAACCCTAAGAAACCTTAAACCTTAAACCCTAAACCTGAAACCCTAAACCCTAAACCCGTTTTTTGGGCTTTGCCGTTCCTGAACCGTGGCTGGGAATCCTGCAGGTTTCCCTGGGACGACAGCTGACCCCAACAACCAGCCCAGCCCTTCCTTGGCCTTTGAGGTTTGCTTTGCTTTGGGGGTTTAGGCGGTTGAGGGTTTTTTTTTGCGGGTTTAGGCGGTTTAGGTTTTTTTGGGTCTTAGGCGGTTTAGGTTTTTTTGCGTCTTTCCGGGCATCAGTGGATTTTGAACAGGATTGGGGTGGCCAAGCTCCCGGCAACGTATCACACGCCACCACTTCGATACCCATGGTCCAATGGTGCGATTGACAGCGGAGGTTTGAGTTTGCCGTAGCTAAATAGCTTGAACTGGAAACCGCGGTGCGTCAGGCGGTCGATGGTCTATAGTGCAGGGGCCTGAACAAGTACTCATGTGAATCCGTGGGGCCGTAGAGTTCTACCACGAATGTAGTATCACATAGGCCGCTACACTACGCGTCCTGAAGCTTCCTGCAACTATCCCTAGAGCCTTGTCGCAGAGAAGGTTTACACCCAAAGCCGCAAGCGCGAAAATGCATTACATCCCAAGCTTGACGACCCTACAACAGCCCCTCAAGCCTAGGCCTCAAAAATCGTGCGTAGTAGTTTAACGTATAATGCCACCCAAATAAACCCTATTCTAATTAAAATATTAAGGCCCCTATAGTATCTCCTACACTTATAGTAGAATCCATATTCTAATTTGTATAGTATCTCAACTCAAGGCTACGATGGCCTCACGGCCCGCCTCATTGAGCGCATGGGCCGCTCGGCGACTTTTGGAGAGCAGGGCGTCAGGATTTCGAAGTTTTCGGAGCTTAAGACTTTCCTAGTAGTAGAGTGGGGAACCTTCACCCTTTTTGGCGCGAAGCTCGTCTCACGCCTTTCGCTGGGGACGCAGCTTATTCCACGTCGCGCTTCAACCTTTTTGGGTACGTAGTATAGTCCCTATATAATCCCTATATAACTGACAAGGTTAACCTTAAGTTCCCCATAATACCCGACAAGTAGGCTTTTGGCTTTATTATAGTTACTAGTAGTATTATTATTATTATTAGTAGTAGTAGTTGTTGTGATAGTGGTAGTGGTAGTGGTAGTGGTAGTGGTAGTGGTAGTGGTAGTGGTAGTGGTAGTGGTAGTAGTAGTAGTAGTAGTAGTAGTAGTAGTAGTAGTAGTAGTAGTAGTAGTAGTAGAGGCACCCCCCACCCCTACCAACTACACTTGCTCTCAACCATGTTAAGACAACATCCATTTTACTCGGTATTTACGGCACTTTCGTCATGTGCGATCATCCTAAGAGGCCTAAAAATCGACTTGTCGAGTTTGCAAACTCGGGCTCTTGATTTTGGACTTGCTTCTGGGGGTGGGTGGGGGGGTGGGGGGGGGATGATGACGACAGTGTTACGCGAACACACCCAGCAGTATCACCACAAGAGCCGTTTAACTCGGTATTTACGGTACTTTCGTGATGTCAGACTTTGTTACAAATTCTGAGCCCCTACTTCTCGACTATGCGTATTAATCTTTGCTGTTTGGAACTGTTTGCAAAAAAACTCGAAATTGGGTGGGGGAAAGCTTCTTCGGGGATGATCACGACACTGTTTTGCGGACACCCTGAACAATATTTCCACACTCAAGCGTGCACACACCACACACACCACTTCAAAAACAGACCCTCCTACGCAGAGGTTGGGCGGTAGGGGTGTTGGCGAGCCCCTCCCACGTACAGCTGGCATCTTTGTTTTTGATGTTCAGAAGATGTTGCGCTTCAGGTTTTAGAAACGTTAAACCCTTGTTGGCAGCACCTGGGTTTTGCACGGTATTTACAGCGTTTTCGTACTATCCGACCACCTGGGGTTTATCAGTTTCTTCCCCGTCGAGCTTGCAACTCCAGCTGCTGTGGCAGTTTTGGGGCCTGAACCCCTGCAACTTCACCGGCTGTGACAGTTAAGGAAACTGAGCCTCTGCAACTTCTGCAGCTGTCACAGAGAAGGAGCCTGAGCCCGTGCATCTTCTGCAACTATCGCAGTTAAGGCGCCTAGCAGCTACCGCTGCCCAGCCCGGATGGAACAAGTGTAGTTGGGAGGGGGGGGTGGCTAGTAGTAGTAGTAGTAGTAGCAGGAGTAGTACTAGCAGCAGCAGTAGTAGTAGTAGCAGTAGTAGCAGTAGTAGCAGTAGTAGTAGTAGTAGTAGCAGTAGTAGTAGTAGCAGCAGCAGTAGCAGCAGTAGTAGTAGGTCGTAGTGGTAGTGGTAGTGGGAGTAGGAGTAGTAAGGAGTAGTAAGTAGCAGTAGCAGTAGCAGTAGCAGTAGCAGTAGCAGTAGCAGTAGCAGTAGCAGTAGCAGAAGCAGTAGCAGTAGCAGTAGTAGCAGTAGGAGTAGTAGCAGTAGTGGTAGTAGTAGTAGTAGCAGGAGTAGTAGTAGTAGTAGTAGTAGTAGTAGTAGTAGTAGTAGTAGTAGTAGTAGTAGTAGTAGTAGTAGTAGTAGTAGTAGTAGTAGTAGTAGTAGTAGTAGTAGTAGTAGTAGTAAAGTAGTAGTAGTAGTAGTAGTAGTAGTAGTAGTAGTAGTAGTAGTAGTAGTAGTAGTAGTAGTAGTAGTAGTAGTAGTAGTAGTAGTAGTAGTAGTAGTAGTAGTAGTAGTAGTAGTAGTAGTAGTAGTAGTAGTATGTGCTGTCTCATTTCGCCCCTTTGAGGGCTCAGAGTTTTTCCACAAGGGTTTATGTATAGGATCTAGGTCTCGGAGTTTAGGGTGCAGGGGTCTGCCGCTTGGTGCCTCGGGCATCGGATTGTCAGGGCATAAGACGCCCAACCTTTACAATGTCTCCTTCAGACCATCTTCAGCACCGATCTGGGAGTTACCTTATTTGGGGTCCTTATAATAAGGATCCTACTATTTAGGGTACTATATTAGGGTCCCCTATTTTCGGAAACTCCCATCTAAAGACAAGCAAGAATTACGCAGTAGGCATCGGATATCGTTGACATCTCCGATGACTCCTCACTTACCCGTTCCGTATAACGAAGAATGGCGTATATACTAGAATCGCAAACGTAAGCAGCACAATTGAAAACAACATGGTGCCCTTGTATCTTCTTTGTCCATTGCGCATAGTCTTTGCATAGGATATTTTGCAGACTGCGCACCAAGGAAAGGTTCAGACATTGCGGCTTCCATATTCAAGTCGGGAATACTCCCATGCTTTGTTGGCTCTCTGTGAAAACTTGGGCCTATCAAAAACGTCGATGTCGAGTTATGCGATGATGATGTACTCTTACTCTGACCATGGCCCACCCCAAAATAAACAAAAGAACTTACTGACGCTCCTGGAAAAGACATGCCGGAGGGCATCTGATCGTCTTCTCCGCAAAACCCAAACCCTATAATCCCCGCATGTGATTCCGTCTTCCTAAACCCTAACCTCTACGCCCTGAACTCCGCATATGAGCGTCTTCTCCCAGATCAAACCAAGGTCTAGGTGACGAAGTTTCAAGCTGTGCAAAACATTCAGGGCTCAGGGTAAAGTACTCGAGCACCTTTGCCGGTAGGAGGAGGTGTCGTTTAGGCTTCATGTTTGATAGGGTTGATGCTTGAGTTTTGGCGAGCGTCTCCAAGCTTACTGTAAGACTATGCTGCTTTTACAAGCCATCGAAAAGAAAGGACACTCATGAAATCAAACATTGCTTTGCGCCAGAAGGCTTCCAGCTTACGTTCATGACGGGCTTCGGTGTCAGCGCCGTGCATGGCTTCGCCGACTGCCAGCTGGTGTCCTACCAGGTCCGGGTTAGGTTTCCTAAGCCCTAAGCCGTTTAGGACCCTTGCAAGGAAGGAGCGGGAAAAGCCGTTTAACGTTTCATCCTCTCAGGTCCGGGTTCACTTGCACTCACCACGACTTGGGCTTGTTGTGTTACAGCTGTTCGGGTGTTGGTTTAAAGTACTTGCTTGCTTGGTTTCTGGGCTTGTTCAAAAGCGTTTTGTTTTGCTGATCAATCGTGCAGCGGTTTGGTGTTTGTGTGTGTTCTTCGGACTTGAGGTTGAAGTTACATTTAATGGCGGGTTGGATTGGGCTGGAATGATTTTGGTGTGTTGATCGTTTGGGATGTTCGGGTTTCGGATTCAGCCGTCTAATGGCCTTCGTGATTAGGCTGTTTTGGGGTGTTGACGATGGAGTTAGGGCAAGGATTCCGGTTCTAGTCTAGGAGAGTCTAGGATGTAGGGTGAAGCTCTGAGAACTTCAGATATTTTTGGACTGGGTCAAAAGTGGCCTCAGCACTGGCTGGAACCCCAGGCCAGCCATCGTTTCCCAATCGCCCTTGAGTCATCTACATTGGGTTACAAACCATACACAGGGAATACGAGCCCCTAAAGACAATACAGCGAAAAGTCGTCGGAATACTCAGTAACTGGTTGTACTCCCTAATGTCATCCATATGCTTCACAGCCCTGTTCTCCTTATTGCGGCGTTTATAATTCAGTTAGGAGCCTAGGCTTTGAGGGACGTCTCTTGAGGAGATGCTCGAAGCAGCTTTTTGCATCTGTGGATCGCTGGAGCGCATCTGCTGCATCGCCGACGGAGACACAGGCCTAGCAACATTGGAGGGCTCAGACTGACGAAAACTGGCTTGCTGTTCATGTAAGTTCAGGATCCTGAAGTGAAATTTGGGCTCGGTGTTGGGTTCCCTAATGTCGGGGCTGCCGGGTTCAAGGGCCATGACGCCTTACTTCCGCTGCCACGCCATGTGAGTTTTGCCGGCTATGGGGAAGAGGTCCTTGCTCATGGTTCTTGGATCCAAGTCTTTCCCCGTGTCGCCTTCCCATAGAAACTCGTTTATAAATCCATTAAGTTAAGGATCGGGCCGTGATGTCACGCAGCAGTAGAGTGGTGTTTTAGGCTTTAGCAGGCGGCTGACCAGGGTTATATGACATGGGTACCCATAGTGGCGTTCTCCTCTTGCACCCCTTCTTAGTAACTATTCAATTCAATCATTCAGTACTTCCCCCGATTACATCCCCTGCTTCCCCAGTCTTTCTGAGAGCAACATTACTTAGGGGTACTTAGAAATAAATTTTTAATTTTTGGTTATTATTATCCCTAAGAAACAGCTAAAATTATAATTTTTGCTAGGGTTCTAAGTTCAGTATAGATTAAAGGTTCAAGCATGTACGTCACTTCTACTCACAAGACCAAAGGATTCGAGGCGGCCAACCCGTCAATTAAGAGTTGGGAATGTGTGTTCGCCAAAGCCTCACACGTCTGGAACCGATGGCGATGCCCGAAATCCGAAACCCCTAAACCCTAAACCCCTAACCCTTAAACCCTATGCCATCAGCGCCAAACCCGACGTCCGAAACCCCTTAAAAAAGCACCAACCTAGAAGGACTGTTGAGGGGCTCTTTGCGAGATTATGGGAGGGGTTTTGAACAATTTATGAGAACTCGACTTGGATGGTTGTCAAAATTATGGCCATTTTTGGGGAACTGTGAATATGAGGTGACGTATTGCAATCAGGACCCGAAAAGGGACTGTAATTTTGACAATCACCCACTTGCATCTGTCCTACAATGACCTTAGGGCTCCGATGGTAAGGGAAATCAAGAGGGTCGAAGCAGGAAGTCAGCGATGAGATGCTCAGGTGGATGCTCCCTCGGTTGTCTTATCACAAGTACGGGTCCTTGTGACTGGAAGCCTGAAATGTCTGAAAGTGTATAAGCACGAATCGAACGCTGGCGTAAGGGGTACCTCATTTTCTGAAGGGCCCAGAATAATCAGAAAACTTATGGGCTTTAAAGGCTTAGGGTTCCTAAGCGTTTCGTGAATGTCATGTTCTTCCTATAGTCTCCATTGTGGCCCTTTTTTTGGTTTAACCAATTGTATATTAAGGATCCTATAAGGTAACCCCCAAAAGGAACTACAATGGAGACTATAGGTTTGATCCGACAGAGTCGAGGCTATGGCAACGCAGTCAACGTGAAGCGTACCGTGCGAGGGTACGCTCAAGCTGGCATGTGTCTCGGCAGAAATGATGGGAGTTTCCGAAAAGTAGGGGTAGCTTATTTTGGGGTCCTTATAATAAGGGGTACTATATTAGGGTCCCCTGTTTTCGGAAGCTCCCAAATGATGGGAGCCCATGAAGATAGTGAAGCTTGACCCTTCCGTGGGCCGATAGGCCATGCTATAATGTTGGTGTCAGAAATAAGTAGTAATAGGATCCCCCAAATACAGTCCTCATGTATAGTATTGCCGTGAAAAGCCCCCGAACCCTATTCTAATTATGTCAGGGTCCTGTACTACCATTTACTGTGTCATCTGGGTCCTGTTACTCGTGATTTAGTAGCGGTATAGATCATGTCGCCTACAAGGTGTCAACCAAGAACACATAGAGTCCCAAGCCAGAAGAGCAACGAAACCAGAAGCCACGTAAGTTTGAGCGCCACGCGCAAAAGCCCACGAACACGGACCAGACCCGCCGCAAAACAAGGCTTCAGAGCGAAAGACCTAATCCCAAAGGCTCCATGTACCTTTATAGTAGATACTCAAGCCCCAAAGTAGTCCCTATATAGGTACTTTAAGGCCTAAGTATATACTATATGGGTACATGGAGCCTTAGGGCAATCAGACCCCGAAGCCGCACCCTCGACGACAGAATGGATCCCCTATAATTTAGCTTAAAGGGGTTACGATAATGATATTCCAACTTTCTGGCTTCTACTGTATGATCCCTGGCCCTTGCATCCAGAACCCTTGGGGCTTGGGTTCAAGGCTTCTTAACAGCCTTCTAAAGTTATCAAGTGTGAGTCTTTGAAACGAGGCCCTAAGCCCTCTTGGTATTGGTGTTCTGCTGTGAGAAGCTCGCATTTTTGAGCGAGAGTGGGAGTCGACACCCTGACTCCAAAACCCTCAAAGCCCAGAATATCAAAGGGGAAAAGGAGGGACCCTTAATGGGGACCCCTCGCCTCTCATGGGCCTTTTTAATGGGTATGTATAATTCGTAGCGGGCGCATAGGGCGCCAGGTGGTTTCAATGCGTTTTTAGTGTTTTTACTGCACAAATCAAGGGTTTTTTGCTGCTGTTCAGGACTGTTCAGGACTAAGGGGGTGGGGGGAAGGGCTTAATAGCGTCCGGCCGTGGCATATCCTCTCGAGCGGGCAGTTGCAAGCCATCTTTGAGAAACGTCTCAGCAAGAAGTCTGTAGGAAACCTGTGATGGGTCTTGGAGAAACGTCTCTGAAGTCTGTGCGAAACCTGTGAGAAGTCTCTCAGAAACCTGTGAGAAACCTGTGACAAACCTTTGAGAAATCTATCAGAAGTTTGTGAGAAACCCGTGATGCGTCTTTGAGAAACGTCTCAAACGTCTGTGGGAAGTCTGTGAGACACTTGTGATAGGTCTTTGAGAAACGTCTCAGAAGCCTGTGGGAAACCTCTGGGAAGTCTTTCAGAAACCTATGAGAAACCTGTGACAAGCCTCTGAGAAGTCTGTGAGAAACCTGTGATGTGTCCTTGAGATTTGAGAGAGAAACTTGTGATAGGTCTTTGAGACACGTCTCGCAAGTCCTTTAAAATCCTAATGACGGTGAACATGATGTTGTTACCGACAATGATGAGGGTCGTCATGATGATGAAGATGCCTAAGATGATAAACATGTTGATGACGGTAATGATGGTGATTATGTTCATGATCATTGTGATGATTACTAATATGCTGAAACATGATGATAAAAAAAAACCTAATGACGGTGAAAATGATGTTGCTAGCTGATGATATTATTAACCGTAAAATGAAATTAGTTTCGGTGATGTCCTACAAACCTGTTTTTTGTAGTTTTTATGCTAAAACCCCACTCCCACGCACATTCTAAGTACGAAAACCACACCTATGCGCCCGCACCCATATAATTAGCTTTTTCAAGGGTATCTACTACCTAGGGGTCCTTGTTAAGGGTCCCTCCTTTTACCCTTGGAGAATAGTAATCTCTGAGCCGCAAACCCATCAACCTTGAGCCCTCGGAGCCTCAGAATCCCCCACCTATCGTCTCCATTGCAGGTCCTTTGTGGGGTTACCTTATAGGATCCTAATTACATATTTGGTTTAACCAAAAAAGGAAGTGCAATGGAGACTATAGGCAGTCCTCTTCCAGAGCTGTAAATCAGAGGTCCGGCGTAATGATTGAAGACCAGGCCGTGTGGCTGAGGGTTCCTTTAAGGCTTACGATAGGTCTATAAGGGTGTTCCCTTAAGGGTATTCCTTGAAGGCTTACTAGAAGGATATAAGGGTATACGTTTAAAGGGTTACTGTAAGGATACTATATAGAAGGATATGAAGGTGTTCCTTTAAAAGAACTACTTCGAGATTACTATTCATGAGCATACCATAAGGGTTAAAAGGTGCTTTTTCTAAAGGTTTACTTCGAGATTACTATGAGGGTTAATTCGAGTCGATTCCGTTTTGTCGGAATGCAAGCTTTGCATTGGATGATGCAGTCTGCATGTAGGAGTTTGTAGGCTTTTCCACGACGCTGGAAGACTTCATTATGTGGCTCTAAGAGCTGGTCATACTGGGCTCTAGTCCATTCTACTTGGTTGTCTGGGGTGTTTTCCCTCTTTTCGTTGTGGTGCTGTTGAGGTTTGCAGCTCATTTCGGGTCCAGGTCGCGCGAGAGAGAGAGAGAGAGAGAGAGAGAGAGAGAAAAAAAACAAAAAAACAAATGAAGGAGGGAGGGAGAGAGAGAGAGAGAGAGAGAGAGAGAGAGAGAGAGAGAGAGAGAGAGAGAGAGAGAGAGAGAGAGAGGGAGAGAGAGAGAGAGAGAGAGAGAGAGAGAGAGAGGGAGAGGGAGAGAGACAGAGAGAGACAGAGAGACAGAGAGAGAGAGAGAGAGAGTTGAAAGCTATATCAGAAGTATTACGGACGTTCCGCGTGACTGCCTGTTGCGATTGCGGCAGTCGAAACTCTAGATTCCGCACTCCCAGACTCTTGGGCCACAACCTGAGCCGTTCTCGTGAGCTCCAAACTTTTCTTTCATCTATGAGTATGGAGCACTTGTTTGGGGCCTTAACTTCACGAACCGACAGGTAGCCCCCAAGCGCTGTGGCCACACGAAAGGGACGACAGTGGTGTCCCGGCCAGAGGCTGGCAAAGTTCAAGCAAGAAGGGGCAATTTCCGTGAAAACAACCACCGTTGTAGTAGAATTAGTATCATCTGTAGCAGTAGCAGCAGTAGTAGTATATAGTACTACTAGTAGTAGCATCAGTTGCGGTAGTAGTGGGAGTAGCAGTACTACTAGCAATACTCGTATTGGTCCTTTCGTCGTCGTGGCAATCGCCGTCGTAGTGGTGGTAGTAGCAGCAACAGCAATGGCTGTAGTGGTAGCGGTGAAAATGGCGGTGGCGTTGGCAGTGGGGGTGGTGGTGGCGGTAGTAGCTGCAAGTAGCTATATCTGGCAGTTGGCAAGTACTAGTTGGCAGTTGGTAAATGCCGGCTGGTAGCCAGTCAATAGTTCGTACATGCAGTGGTCGCACGCAGTGGGTTATAAACAGTGAGAAAGCAGTAGCTATCAAGTTGTCATGCGGCACTGTGATGAATTCCCGTGATGATTCAGGAGCTGGGACGGCAGTCT